GGGCACAAACTTGGCCTCTTTAACTGGACAAGTGAACCGCAAATGCTTCGCAATAGCATATTCCTCCTTTGTTGGTTTTTCATTTTCCTATAATGAGAAAAAGATGATATTGATTCATATATTTTGAGATTTAAAATAAAACAACAGTTGAAAAAATACTGTCATGCATAAAAATTGTTAATAAATCAAGTCAAATTTTCCAATACTCAGTATAATAGAAAATGTGTTTTTGTTTTGACCAGGAACATGAAGAAATTGTATGTGCCAAACGAAAAGAACAGCTGTGTTTTCAAACTTTCGAAATCAATGCGACAAGCACAATGGACTAAATAAATTATTTTAAACATTTACAACAAAATATCTTCCAATTCATCTATTTCAGTGAAATGTTAATTTAAACAATGAGAAAATGGTTAAAAAATCATACAGAATCAATTTTCTTCAGTTTTTTCTTTCTGTCAGCCATGTTTACGTGGACTTTTGTCTACATCGGTAGAACGCTTTTGAAAGCAGGTCGAATTTATTTTGACGGAAAAGCGTCTCGTCGATTGAGGAAATGACAGTGTGGCGGATCTAAACTGGTCAGAGGTGGAATAAAAACGTACTGCACCCCCCTTTTCCTTAAACCAGTCACGTGTTTTGAGAGCATTGGATTGTTGTCATGAGTGGGAAAGCTCAGAATACGAAATGCACTCATAAACAAGTGGTTTAGAGATCTAGAGGAACGAAATTATTTTTACTATCCATAAATTAAGTTTGTGATAATAAATAATTTAAACTCGCTCAGGGTAGATGTAACCACTAATTTTGATAGCCATACACCCATTTGCGAAATTTTATTAATTACTAAATGTTAACTAATTTCATTAATTTTATGACTGTATATTACTTGTAAAGGCAGAAATTGCAATTGTACAATGAAGCATGATATTTCATATTTTGAAAATGGTAATGTCATGTTGTAAATACTGAATTTATCGGTCCGGGATGCAGTAAATACAAAATTTACATCATGTAAATTTTGTATTTATTACTGCCTTCCGGTAAATTCAAATTTTACAACTTGACAGTTCTGTGTATATTGAACCAAATTTTTGCGCCTCTGAAAACTTTATTAAGACTGTAAATTGTGGCGCAACTAACCTGAATCTTTTGTTTCCAGGCGAGAAAAGAGGTGAGCTGTTTGGCCCTCTTGTTATTTTGTCGGATGGCCCCCGCCTTTCTCTCGTCCTCTTTTTCCCGCTTCCTGTCCTCCTCCTCCTGTTTTAACTGCTGCCAGACCTGACGAATGTTGAACTCTTCATCTGGAGGATCTTCCCCCTCCTCGCACTCCCCCTCAGCGACTTCATCCCCACTCCCCTCCTCATCAAACCCCACACACAGCTCATACTTAGGACGGATACGCGGCATTTTACTCTTATTTCAATGATGTATAAAATTAATGTACTAGGACTTTCAAATTAAGGGTGGATGTTAACACGTGTACAATTCCCAAAGGTGTATTTTGTGGTAAGCGTGTGACTTCCGTGTGTAAATCTTCATACTAACGTTTAGTTACATAATTTGTCCCAGGGGTAGTGCTGTCGAGATCTACCGGTATATGTACGTCGTGTGTCATGTGTAGCATGGAATTTCAGAAAGAAAAAAAAAATTGACGTGCTGGAGTCGAGAGGGGTTTTAATAATAAGAAGAATTGATAGAGGCATGCATAATATCGGGGAGGAGCTGTCACGCTTTTTTGTTCAAACATTACTGTTTACTATCCAAAATTTTCATTGAAAATGCTGACCCCTAGGGGCTTGTCTTCCGTATTCTTAAATGTAAAAATAATTACATTAATTCAACAACTTTTAGATGTATTTAATGAAGATTCAAAATTTTAATGTATCATTTTACATTTAACAATCCTGAAGACAGGCCCCTATGCCCCTCCCCCTACTATACATAGCTCTGCCCCATCCCCTCCCAAACACGAAAAAGTATTTTCTATTATGGAAAAACTCCTCTTTCTCTCTGCCCCCCCCCCCCCCCGAAAACTTTCAAAAACGATGTGCCAGCACAACGTGCCTGTGTTATGATTTTTTTAACAGAATGAGTCCGAGAACGACGTTTGTATAAATCTTATAAAACTCGATTTATATATTGCAATAGTTATACATACTGAAGTTCGATTCTTCATCAAAATAGGATCGTTCTCTCTATCTCTCTCTCTCTCTCCATTCAAAATTTTTATGCAAGATTATGTCATGTTATTTTATACAGGCTTGCGTATATCCAATCAAATGAATTAATCAGATACAGTGCATTCATTTCAACTCAAGAAAAGGGCCAAAACCAAAATGAAGGGGGGAGGATTAAAATACAATCAATCAGTGAAATGGAACAAAATGTAATAGCTGATCAATACTTTAACTGAGAATCGATGAACGATCGACTGATGACATTGCAATCAGAGGCTTTCCCTATAAACTAGCTAATGTACTGACTTATGTAAAACATTAGTACCCATGGCACTAAAGAACAAATTGTGTGATATATTCTACATAATCTAAAAATACTGATTACATGTACATATACGCACACACACGTATTTTCTACACGACTGTAAAAGAAGGCATCTTTTCGAAACAATTAGATGGCCCTGAAAAGGGCCGTTCATCGTTATGACTGACCATACTCTGATTCTGGTCTGAAATCTTGGAAACCGCTGTGGGTTTTGTCTGTCTGTGGATGTATCTGGCGGGTGGGGACGCCATGGAGAAATTGATCAGATCTGGAATTTCATCTACCTCTCAGACCTGGTCTACCACGTCGAACTCCTCGGGATCTTCGTCCGAGTCATCAGGGACCTCCCCAAAGATGTCCATCTGTAGACTTCGGATCCTCTCGGCCTGGCTCACGGCGTAGTCATGGTACACGTTCTTGACCCCTTCGATGGCGGCGAGCTGGAGACGATAAGTGTAGCGGAACGTCCGGAGGTTCTTCTCTTTGGCTTGTTCATACCTCGCCTGCATCCCGGACAACTTGTAGTTGAGGAGGACGATCTGTTCACAGGCCCGCCGGAACTTCCGTTCTGTATGGAACAACTCTATCTGCATCCGGAACAGCTTCTCTTCCTCGTCCACCATATCAACATCCGTCTCCATGGGAACTTCGTCGATCGGCATCTCCATAGGAATAAATCGCTTAGAAGTGAAGGATTGTGCTTCCATTGTAAGAATGGTGAAGATGTTCATCAGCGCGTCCCCTTATATACAGAGGATCAAATGTGTTCATGCTGTCATATACAGAGAGGCAATACTCATTGGCTGCCAGATGCACTCCGTCACGGCAGATTTGTCTGGTGATCTTCGGACAGCGCCTAATTATCACCCTGCCGTTATCAATTATCTCATCTCGGCTCCGTGTCACAGTTATGATTACTGCAAATCGTTCTACTGAAAATCGATACACACAATTAACAGGCTGACATTTCTGCTAATTAATCAGTTTTTACAATAAAACTGCCTTAATTAAAATAGCAGTATAGTCTGTTCACCTACATGTAATTATAACCTGCAAGACGTTAAAGGATTTCTTGACATTTAAATATTTTCTTCAATGAAATTTATCCAGAATTTTTATAAGGAAATTTCTACCGCAAAATTTAATACCATTACATACAAGAGTTTTTTTTTATGTCTCCGTTTTAGTTTATCTATTTTTCATTTATTTAATAAGAATTTAATATTGTTTCATTATTGATAAAAGAGAAAATATCGTTATCAGTTCTCAAAACACAGACTGAAAATGAAACATGACAAATAGCCAGTTGTAACTTCTAACTGACGATTTTGATTATTATAATTAACGTTATAAAATGGAGTTAAACTTGTAATACTGATTTCATTTAATAACATGATTTAAAAAGATATATACGGTAAGTCATTGTCTTGAGAAAAATCACGTCTTTTGATTTTTTGAGAGGGGGGCAATTTTAATCGCTTGAAATGTAACAATATTTAAATATTAGCTGAGAATTTTTTTTTTCTATATCTTGAAAATACATATTGTTCATATGACTCTAAACACATTAAGAGGTATATATTTTGAAGAATTTGCATTACGGGAGATATATGTATACATGTGTAGACTACGGTTATTGTATGCTGGGTGCAGCGTAATTCATGTCCACGTTCTCTGCGGGGAATCTCACATTTGGACCAGCATCTGTGAGGGATAAAGAGGGTGCGTTCTACACGCTAGATCGGATTAACTAGGGATCAAAGATTAGTGCGGCACTACGAGATTTATTTAAATACATTCATATTACTTCAAACAGACCATATGTATACATGTATTTCCATACACAGCGCCGAGTAAGTATATCAAAAACGGATCGGTGTTTTTCATTACCAAATAACGCGGGATGGTTCATTTGATTAAGATTTTTAAAGATCAACTGGTGCATCAAAATTGTTATAACTCATGACATTAAATACTAACCTTTTTTTCTGAAGATTTTCCACGACTTAATGTAATGTTTTCAATAAAAAAAAAGTAAAAAAAAAATTGCAGATATAATAATTAAATAATTTACCCAGGTGAATTAATTATTTCCATACAGTTATCCAAAGTACAGTTAATGACAATAAAAATGGCATATACATAATTACAGTATCAGTCATTGAATTAACTGCTATGACAATCACACATTAAACTGTAAAAATCCAATTAGGAGTGAACTTTGACCTGAAGGGTAAATTGATTTCAGATGTTGACACAGGCATAATTTTTCTTGCTGACACCTTCTGAGTAATGACTTTTCAATTCACAGTTCTCATGACAGAGATAAAGGATTGTCTTAAATATTACGGACTTGCACATGTATCACTAAACTGGTAACATGTGCATAAACTATGATCTTTGTTTTTGAAGAAAGACATAAAAATTACTTAATAAAAAATAATTAAAAAAATAAATATAAAGAAATCAATAAGTAAAACATATAATTTATTGTCAACAGAACATACTCAAATGCACACATTGTAATTAATACTTGGAACATCACAGTACTTATTAGTACTTACCATAAACTAAATGCTTGTCTTAAATGCTTACAGTTATATATAGGAACATAAATGCTCTACTAACTGTATTCTTTGTCCTATTATGAGCAGGTTTTTAAAACTGACTTGAAAATAAATGTTCAGTGCCCTTAACATTGTAGAATTGCTAATCAATTATGATATTGATATACCATTGTGAAGTCTTACTTTATGCATTGAATTTGTATGATTGTTTATTAAATAATCAAATAATGATAGTAATCAACTCCTCACATTTAGATGTTTGTTTCAATTTATCTCGAACGTCCATTCCACAAATGACATTTCTGAAACTGTGACAAAAACAAAGGCTCCCACAGACAATGCTTGACATGACCTTAATTTTATTGATAGCAGTGCCAAAGAGAAACATTGTTTAGACTATGTCTATAAAGCCCTAGATGAACACACATAAACTGTCCACTGATAAAGATTTTATTCTATATCCCAGCCCGTGTCATAGATGAACAAATGATTCCTCTGTTTCATCCAGCATCACATGCCCTGAAACAGAATTAAATTTAGTTTAGAATCTGAACCTGAATTAGAAAAGAAACATAGTTTTGAAAAATATGGAAAGAAAAAGTTCCTAGAAAGCTAGAAAGCATAAAAAAGGATATGAAGAAATTCAATTTAAAAATCAAATCTACCCTATTTTGTTCAAAAATCAATTTCTCCCAAATATCGTACAACACATTAAATTTAATTCATGTACAGTATTTCCTTATTACGTAGTAACATTTACAAAATCTTAATCTTCAGGTTGCTTAATCTAATTCCGTCCTGCTGATACACTTTCCCAAACAATACTTTAAAAGGTCTAACACAAGGTAGTAGACAAGCAAAATGCAGCCAAAGTATCTTAAACTGATGAGAAACTAAAGAGTAGGGAAAAAAAGTAATCAAACGGAAAGTAAAGTGAATATTGTGGAGTGTACAACTGATTAGCAAAAATATGTTTACCGGGTATTTGGGTTTGGTATGATGGTGATGAATTCCCCCACCCCCTACAAAAAAAAAATAAATAAAATATAAAGAAAAATTTACTCTAAATAAAGGATATAATCACTGTTACCACATACTCAATAATTCATTTATACTTTTTAGTTTTCTTTCACTTCATACATGATTATTGAGCAATGAAATGAGGAGAGAGGAACATATTACTTTTCCTGTAAATATAACAGGTTTCCAATAATTGCTTTTTTACATCTTAAAACCCTGCAGTAAAGAGTTCTTACTTTGTAGTGGCAGTCTGATGGGTTCTTTGTCTGTAACGGTCACCTGATGAGGTCGGTTCCTGAAGTTATAGCGGATGTACAAACTCTTCTCCTGGTCAGGACAGGGGTCATAGAAACCCGGAAGTTCACTCTGTAAACAACAGAACACATGACAGTTTATCTGCTCTTCACTGCTTAAAACAACAATTTATAGTGTACTTTCAAAATGTTAACAAAGTCACATAGAAATAAATTTTGAAAAATATTTTATATCACCAAGACTGTGCCTAGAATATATGAATTGAAAAAGGGTCAGTTATCAGAGCAAAGGTTGTGTTTGAAAGTTTCCAATTTGTAAAGGGCAAGTATGGTACACAGACTACACAGCATACCTGCATTCAGAATTCAATTTACTTTGAAGTCTTCACTCATTGAAGTTACACTTTTTTTCATGGAAACTCTCAATATACATGTACATGTACTTAGAAGAATTTATTATTGATAATTGGTCTCCTACCTTAGTACTGGAATCTAAAATGATAAGCTGTGATTCTACAACAAGTGCTTGTAGTGGGACTTTAACATCTAAACAATTGGATTCTGCTAATTCTCTGTAATAAAAACACCAATAGCAGTATGCTTCATTTTAAATACAGTATATGTTAAAACAAGAGGCCCATGGGCCAAATCACTCACCTGAGAAGCTTTGTCCATTCTGTTCTTTACCAGATTTCCCCCTTGTAATACATATTGCGACCCCACCTTACCCCACTGATCATAATTTAGACATTTTGAAATCTGCATTGCCCAAGGATGCTTCCATGTGCACATAAGTTTCAGCTTTTCTGGCCCAGTGGTTCTTGAGAAGAAGATTTTCAAAGATTTTCCTATTTTTTTCTATGTAAAACTTTGATTCCCCAATGTGGTCCTGCCCTACCCCCAGGGGTCATGATTTGAACAATTTGGAATCTACATTACCCCAGGATGCTTCCACATAAGTTTCAGTTTTTCTGGCCTAGTGGTTCTTTAGAAGAAGATTTTCAAAGCTTTTTCCTATATATTTCTATGTAAAACTTTGATTCCCAATTGTGGCCCTGCCCTACCCTCAGGGGTCATGATTTGAACAATTTAGAATCTACACTACCCCAGGATGCTTCCACAAAAGTTTCAGTTTTTCTGGCCCAGTGGTTCTTTAAAAGAAGATTTTCAAAGATTTTTCCTATATATTTCTATGTAAAACTTTGATTCCCCATTGTGACCCCGCCCTACCCCCAGCGTTCATGATTTGAACATTTTAGAACCTACACTGCCCCAGGAAGCTTCCACATAAGTTTCAGCTTTTCTGGCCCAGTGGTTCTTGAGAAGAAGATTTTTTAATGACCCCGCCCTATTTTTGTCTTTTCTTGATTATCTCCCCTTGTAAGGGGACTTGGCCCTTAATTTTAACAATTTAAATTCTCCTTCACCCAAGGATGCTTTGTACCAAGTTTGGTCAAAATTGGCCCAGTGGTTCTTGAGAAGAAGTCGAAAATGTGAAAAGTTTACAGACCGACAGACAGACGGACAGACAGCTAGACGGACGGACGGACGACGGACAAAATGTGATCAGAAAAACTCACTTGTGTATAAAGAAGTTTTAGGATTATTAGTCAAGGGAGAAACTTTAAAAGTTAGCAAGTAAGCACATGTTTTTAACAAAATAGTTAATACTTTCAAGCACAAGAAGAAATGGGATATCAAATAATACAAAAGATGTTTGTAAAACACTTATGCCCCCTTCCCCAAAATAATTGGAATTTTTGTAAGTCCACGGGGCATAAATCTTTCAAAATTGGCTCAACTGTACCCAAAACAGAACATGACGTAGATATTCTTATGATAAATCTCTATACAGTAAAACTCAGTTATAACAAAGTCACTGGGACCTATGAAATTATTTCCTTATATCCGTATAAAGAATTTGTTAAATTTGTATAGCTGGGGATCCAATATAACTTCGCTATATATGTGAATTCGCAATATCTGTGTTTGCACTAACCGAGTTTTACAGTACCAAATTTCATTTCAGTATGTGTAACGGTTGTGAAGAAAATGAAAAGAAACTTGGTGGACTAACACCCTAAAAAGCCAACAGACAGCAGCATAGCAATATGCCCTCCGTTCTTCAAAGGGGGCATAAAAATCAATCCTCTGCATAACAAATTTGTGTTTGTAATCTATAGTTTATGTGGCACCTACCCATCCTCTGTTGTAAGTTGACCATACAGGGCCTTTAGAATTATCAACCCATTCCTACGAGTCTCGTACTCCAAACTTCTCGCTACTGTCTGTTCCATCAGCTCCACCTGTAATGTCAGCAACTCCTCAATTCATGTCTACATCATAACTCAATTTACACAGTAATGTCAGCAACTCCTCAATTCATGTCTACGTCATAACACAATGTATACAGTAATGTCAGCAACTCCTCAAATCATGTCTACGTCATAACACAATTTACACAGTAATGTCAGCAACAATTCATGTCTACTTCATAGCACAATTTACACAGTAATGTCATCAACTCCTTAATACGTTCTATTTCCACTATTGAAGAGTTATAGTTCTTAGTGCGCTCTTTTGTGAAAAAGTCGGAAAATGTACAAATCTCGCGGGATTTCTGGGACAAACGTAATATAAACATGTAAACAACATGTTGAATGTCGATGAACAAATCTTAACAAAATGCATATGAAATATTTTATTGTTGTGGACTTTATTTAAATCAAGAGTAGAGATGACAAGGATATTAATTTACATCTATTGCTGATCGTATGTATCTATTTATCGTAATGCTACATTTAAAGACAGTACACATACCTCAGAAATGTCGTATTTTTTTTTAATGAACGATAAAGTTAGGGTTTTCGCTCTTTTACACACGTCTTTTAGTTCTTCTATTCATTCGTTAGAATGACAAATGCACTTACCATTTAAAATTGGATTAAGACTGGCATGTTTTGTATTATCCGCCATGCCATGCTGTCCCAGTCATATGACCAAACGCGCCTCTAATTCTGAAGAGTTAACTAATGGAAATACAACGTATTCATATCTACCTCATAATACAAACTACACAGTAATGTCAGCAACTCCTCAATTCAGGACCAAACGCGCCTCTAATTCTGAAGAGTTAACTAATGGAAATACAACGTATTCATATCTACCTCATAATACAAACTACACAGTAATGTCAGCAACTCCTCAATTCATATCTACGTCATAACACAATTTACAAAGTAATGTCAGGCATTGTCAGCGACTCCTCAATTCATGTCTACCTCATAACACTCTACACAGTATTGTCATCAACTCCTCAATTCATGTCTATGTCATAACACAATTTACACAGTGATGTCAGCAACTCCTCAATTCATGTCTACGTCATAACACAATTTACACAGTAATGTCAGCAACTCCTTAATTCATGTCTACCTCATAACACAATTTACACAGTAATGTCAGTGACTCCTCAATTAATGTCTATGTAATAACAAAATTTACACATAGTAATGTTAGTAAGTCCTCAATTCACATCTAACTCATAACACAATTTACACATAGTAATGTTAGCGACTCCTAAATTCACGTCTAACTCATAACACATTTTCCACAGTAATGTCATCAACTCCTCAATTCACGTCTACGTTATAACACAATTTACACAGTGATGTCAGCAACTCCTCAATTCATGTCTATGTCATAACACAATTTAAACAGTGATGTCAGCAACTCCTCAATTCATGTCTACCACATAACACAATTTACACAGTAATGTCAGTGACTCCTCAATTCATGTCTACGTCATAGCACAATTTACACAGTAATGTCAGCAACTCCTCAATTCATGTCTGTGTCATAACACAATTTAAACAGTGATGTCAGCAACTCCTCAATTCATGTCTACCACATAACACAAATTAAACAGTAATGTCAGTGACTCCTCAATTCATGTCTACGTCATAGCACAGTTTACACAGTAAAGCCATCAACTCCTCAATTAATGTCTGTGTAATAACAAAATTTACACATAGTAATGTTAGTAACTCCTCAATTCACGTCTAACTCATAACACAATTTACACATAGTAATGTTAGCGACTCCTAAATTCACGTCTACCTCATAACACAATTTACACAGTAATGTCATCAACTCCTAAATTCACGTCTACGTTATAACACAATTTACACAGTGATGTCAGCAACTCCTCAATTCATGTCTATGTCATAACACAATTTAAACAGTGATGTCAGCAACTCCTCAATTCATGTCTACCACATAACACAATTTACACAGTAATGTCAGTGACTCCTCAATTCATGTCTACGTCATAGCACAATTTACACCAGGGATTTATCAAGGCTGTTTTTACTACCGGTAAACGGTACCTTTCCCCTCTTGAAAAAAGTGAAAAAATTCCCCTTTTCAGATAGAAAATTCTCTTGATTAAACAGAGAATATTTAAAACATCGTACTGAAATTTTCCGTTTTTGTCCGATTGAAGTTTAACAGCATATCCTAATTTACCATCCTAGTCATTCAAACGCTTTTAAAAGAGAGAGTAGAATATTCAAGCTTCTATTTGATATTGATCGGTAAACATGTGCTATGTCCATGATGTCAAAATATACGTCTGGATTGCAGAGTAAAAAAGAAAAGTGTAAATGAGTAAGACGGAGATTATATCACTATGGATCGGAAGAATGGACTAACAACAAAAACAATGTTAGTAGTGAAACAGGAAAAACAGAATTGATTTGTGATAGATATTGAGAGAAAAAAGTAAATAAAGTATTGACCAGGTTTAATTTTTTTTTTTTTTTAGTTATTTAATATTTTGTCTAAAAAGTGACGTTTTTGTGGCCTTTGTAAAGGTCTACAAATGGCCCTCAGAAGCTCTAAGAATGCAGGATTTTGCTCCATTTATTTAAAAATTTTCCGGGGGGGCATGCCCCCGGACCCCCCTAGAATACTCGCGCCTCCGGCGCTCATATCGAGCCTACGGCTCTCATTTTTTCCCCTTTTCATATAAAACGGTAGTAAAACAAAAAAGCTAGATAAATCCCTGTACACAGTAATGTCAGTGACTCCTCAATTCATGTCTATGTCATATCTCAAATTACACAGTTATGTCAGCCATTCCTCAATTCATGTCTATGTCATAACACAATTTACAAGATCACAAGTCAAAATTCTAAGTGAAATTCAATATACTATACATGTTGCAAGTTCTCTATTATTATTTGGAAAAAATAAGTCAGTAAGAACTGATTCAGAATAATAAGGCTTTGAAAGAGATTTTCATAAACATTGCCTCTTGACTACACATGTATAGAACTTACAGCTATTTCTGCATCTTTCTTTTTCTGTAATAATTCCTCAGACTGTTCTTCTTGTTTCCTTTTAAGTTCTCTGTAACATAATACACGAAAAAACTTAAAATATAAATTAGGTTAAAACCATCTTCTACATTGGGATTTGGGTCAGTTAATGTTTATATAACGGCCGCAAACTTAGTTTTACCAGCGAAACGTAAGATAGTTATTTCCAATCTTATGCAATCTATTTACTTTTTTTTTTTTTTTTTTTTTTTTACATGTTTATGCCTTATTTTGTTGATCTACAAAATGTTCAAAATTCCCCCACCCAAGAATTGAAATACTGTAAACCAAGTATTATACGCGTGCTATAAATATCCGCGAGTTCCGCGAGTAACCTCTGCTCGCGGATATTTATCGTCGCGAACCAGTTGTTCATTTTCTTCACATGTTATGATTGGAGTTATTTGCCCTTTTTGAATACCGATCCCAACACTTCAATATGTAATCACGGAAGAACTTTAGCGTACTAGAAGTAGATAAGATTTAATTACAAACATTCAGTGAAAATATAAAAAACGAAAGGCAACTCTTAAACTATTTGTATAAAAATGATTAAAATGTCAATTATATCAGCTTGTGTTATTATTGTTCATTTATTGTCACAGACGAGTTAGATATAGCCTGGTTAATTACAACTAATTATGGCCCAGTCCTGCTCTGTCCAAACCATGTATAATAATTGCCCTTTGGCTATGTAGATCTCGGAAAGCGCCGATTACCCAATTGGTATGAGGCACTTTCACAGTTTTAAATCAACTTTAATCTCCTCGATTTTTTTCCCCGACTTTCACTATTCTGGACATCGTCGTGAATGGTAAAATTTTACCCACTTAAGGGACGAATATAAGATTTTAAATGGACGCTATACACAGAATGTCTTGAATAATGCGTGAGCCGTACTCACGGTAGCATTTTATCTAATTTATGGGCAGATATAAGATTTTAATTTAATACAAAAAATACTTGTGGAACTAAAAAAATGTGACCACTCGTTCGCGGAAATAAATCGTCGCGGATTAGTTCTCTAGCGGTTAGTCGCGAATAAAAAATGACGCGTAGGGTGAATTCACCATGCATCGGATACCCTTGTACTTCAACAAGTTCTAGCGATATCGCTACCGACGGAAAATTATCAAAATGGAGTTTAACATTTAGTTTGTGATTAAAATATCAATTTGGGACACAATTATATGCCCTTTATTTAGAAAATATCCTCAAAAATCGAGTTTTTAGGAATAACTCAAAATTCACCATGGATCGGACATTGTTTACCATGCATTGGACAGACGGTATTTTGACTGGATAAATATCATACCTTTATTAAAGTGCTTTAAAATCCTTGATATGGATACATTTTTATCTTTTATCTAAGAATTAACCCTCAATTTAAATCTAATTGACGATATCGTTGCACAAATGTAGAACGATTCAAGAGACCTCACTCTGCCTTAAAAATGCTTTAAAATGCTTATAATGCGGTAATTCGCGCCTTTTTTCATGGTTTATCATACTCTGGTTTGTAGAAATAAATTGAGTCAAATTCCAGACGTCATACATCGATAACCTGTATTTTGACTGAAAATATAGAGTTTTTATTTTCCTTTTCCGCAAAAAACAGCTATCAGCTGGGTTCTGTATGAAAATGGTAGTGCTTACCTTTGCATCGGAAAGTGTCCGATGCATGGTTAATTTGTGTCCGATGTACGGAGAAATGAACATACTAGTGAAAACCAGCTTTTAAAAGAATTATACGAACATTGAAGTGAAATTTCTTTAAAATTTATGTAAAATTATCAATCTTTGACTTTATTCACCAAAGTCTGCCTCGTTCCGTTGAAGTCGAATTTTAAGAACGATAACTCTAAAAATCGCAAAATCTTAAATTCCTGGTTGTTCCCCTTTGATGATGTAAAATATGATGTAACTTCAAGGCCATTCTCGGGGTATTTTTATCACAACATGATAATAACAATCGGTATCATTAAAAAATTTAAGTCTTCAGCTTCAAGACAGAAACAAATAAATACACGGAACTCTTAAGTTGAAAGAGAGTTTATTGTCTAAAGTTGTCCGATGCAAGGTATGTGTCCGATGCATGGTGAATTCACCCTATAATAATTGGTTTACAGTACATGAAGTTCAACAGTAGCAGTGTGTACAATACAAATTCCAAGTTTACCATATGTCTCATCATTAACATAAATTTGTTCTATTCATGTATGAATTTCAAAAGCAAAGTAAATTTATAACCAACTTACTGTTTTGAAAAAGCACACTTACTCAGATTCTTTCTGTTTGATAAAGGGATCGATAATTAACTTCTTCACAGCAAAATAAGCTAAGGTAGGGATAAATGTTCCATAGAATATAGATGTAGGTAGCACCTGCTCTGACAGTAGAATTGGGAAAGTGTATGATTGTCGTCCTCGATGTAGCCTGCAAAAATAACATACAGATCCAACAATTATCTCCCTACCCTGGAATGAAATAAAACAAGAGGCCCATGGGCCACATCGCTCACCTGAGTACAGCTTTATTATTCTGTTCTTTACCAATTTCCCCCTTTAATACATAATGCATCCCAACCCTACCCCACTGATCATAATTTAGACATTTTGAAATCTACACTACCCCAAAATCCTTCCATGTGCACATAAGTTTCTGCTTTTTTGGCCCAGTGGTTTTTGAGAAGAAGATTTTCAAAGATTTTTCTTATATAATTTTATGTAAATCTTTGATTATTGTGGCCCCGCCCTTCCCCCGGGGGTCATGATTTTAACAATTTAGAATCTACACTATACCAGGATGCTTCCACATAAGTTTCAGCTTTTCTGGCCCAGTGGTTCTTGAGAAGAAGATTTTCAAAGATTTTTCCTATATATTTCTATGTAAAACTTTGATTTCCCATTGTGGCCCCGCCCTTCCCCCGGGGGTCATGATTTGAACAATTTAGAATCTACACTACCCCAGGATGCTTCCACATAAGTTTCAGCTTTTCTGGCCCAGTGGTTCTTGAGAAGAAGATTTTCAAAGTTTTTTCCTATATATTTCTATGTAAAACTTTGATTCGCCATTGTGGCCCCGCCCTTCCCCCGGGGGTCATGATTTGAATAATTTAGAATCTACACTACCTCAGGATGCTTCCACAAAACTTTCAGCTTTTCTGGCCCAGTGGTTCTTGAGAAGACGATTTTCAAAGATTTTTCCTATATATTTCTATGTAAAATTTTGATTCCCCATTGTGGTCCCGCCCCTCCCCCAGGGAATCTACATTACCCCAGGATGCTTCCATATAAATTTCTGCTTTTCTGACCCAGTGGTTCTTGAGAAGAAGATTTTCAAAGATTTTTCCTATATATTTCTATGTAAAACTTTGATTCCCCATTGTGGCCCCGCCCTTCCCCCGGGGTTCATGATTTGAACAATTTAGAATCTACGCTATACCAGGATGCTTCCATATAAGTTTCAGCTTTTCTGGCCCAGTGGTTCTTGAGAAGAAGATTTTCAAAGATTTTTCCTATATATTTCTATGTAAAACTTTGATTCCAAACTGTGGCCCCGCCCTTCCCTCGGGGGTCATGATTGGAACAATTTAGAATCTACACTATACCAGGATGCTTCCACATAAGTTTCAGCTTTTCTGGCCCAGTGGTTCTTGAGAAGAAGATTTTCAAAGATTTTTCCTATATATTTCTATGTAAAACTTTGATTCCAAACTGTGGCCCCGCCCTTCCCCCGGGGGTCATGATTGGAACAATTTAGAATCTACACTATACCAGGATGCTTCCACATAAGTTTCAGCTTTTCTGGCCCAGTGGTTCTTGAGAAGAAGATTTTCAAAGATTTTTCCTATATATTTCTATGTAAAACTTTGATTCGCCATTGTGGCCCCGCCCTTCCCCCGGGGGTCATGATTTTAACAATTTAGAATCTACACTACCCCAGAATGCTTCCACGTAAGTTTCAGCTTTTCTGGCCCAGTGGTTCTTGAGAAGAAGATTTTCAAAGATTTTTCCTATATATTTCTATGTAAAACTTTGATTCGCCATTGTGGCCCCGCCCTTTATCGGGGGTCATGATTTGAACAATTTAGAATCTACACTATACCAGGATGCTTCCACATAAGTTTCAAAGCTTTTCTGGCCCAGTGGTTCTTGAGAAGAAGATTTTTTAATGACCCCACCCTATTTTTGTCTTTTCTTGATTATCTCCCCTTGTGAAGGGACTTGGCCCTTTATTTTAACAATTTAAATTCTCCTTTACCCAAGGATGCTTTGTACCAAGTTTGGTCAAAATTGGCCCAGTGGTTCTTGAGAAGAAGTCGAAAATGTGAAAAGTTTACAGACGGACAGACAGACAGACGGACGGACGGACGACGGACAAAATGTGAGCAGAAAAGCTCACTTGAGCCTTCGGCTCAGGTGAGCTAACAACATACAGATATTAAAGTACACTATCTTATTGGTCATTCATACAATTTTTTTCTTTAACATTTACCCTAATGAGAGTTATACATGTACCTCTTATCACAATGAGCCCCAAAATAATATCAACTAAATTGAATGGAAGAATTGTGAATGCACCAAATTAGAGATTAGAGGGTTATGAATTTTAAAGGACGTACTTTTTATGTTTGGGTGCAGTTTACACTAAGTACAGGTAAATACCTTAATTGTAGTCGGACCCCACCATTATTTCCAATTATCATCTTGGCGTGTATTGTGCTGAATTCTGTAATTTTCTTTTGCACACCATAAGCGAAATACCATCCTACGGTCCCACCTCTGAAAAAGAAAACAAGCATCAAAACAACTCATTGAAAATTTCAACTCAGCTGTATTCTTAGACAAAACATTACACGTACTTGAAAACAACTTTAAGATCAAATTTGTCTCTTCTTTGGCATTAGAAAATTTTATAAAAAATAAAGAAGAATTTCAACAAATAGGACTGAAAATTAAGGACAGATTCTTGAACAAGAGGCCCATGAGTCACAATGCTAACCTAAGCAACTACAGCCTTTTTTTGTTCATCAGCAGATTTTTTTCTGATATATTCCCATGTAAAATTTGTCACTATTACCTCAGGGGTCATGATTTGAACAAATTTGCATCTACAATATCTGATGATGCTTCTTTATAAGAATATGAGAATAAGGGGTTGGGACTTCCAAATCACTTCCACATATCCATGGTATTCAAGATATTAATGTTCAAGATACCAAAGTTTAACTGTATATAGGTATGTACTGTAAATATGAATGATCATGACTTTGTTGTTCTTCATCATATTTATCAGGGAAATAGCCCTAGCCTAAGGTAGACTGGAATCTTGCTAACTCCTTTAATGGTATACTTCAACTATACATTTACTTACGTCAATGATAATCTCATCTTGCAGTCATAATCCTGAAAGTCCCTGACATATATGGCTCTGGCAAAATTGGAAGCACCAACCTACGAAATCCATTAGAAAATTAAATTGTGATATTAGCTCTATGCAGTTACCATGATCCAAGCTTTATCAAACATAAGAGAATCACTAATGTACAATAAAAGTCCTTCACTAAGGAAGACAATCTTGATACTTGATTTAGATCTATGTCACTGAAGTGTCATACTTACACATCTGACCTGGATTTTTAACTTATGATCTTAATAAAACCTTCAATTTTGTGGTTTTTTTTTTTAGAAATACACAAATTCACAGTGTTACCAAATGTTATCCTTTCTAAATAAAAGAATTCATCAATATTATTAAAATGGGGTCAAAATATGTGATGTCTTTGTACAGCTGACACATATCAAACATATGCCAGTTTAGTATTTTGTTAAATCTTACTTGTACTGTAAATGAAGCTCTGTGTGGCTCCTTATCAATCCGTAAAGTGGTGCTCAAATTAGATCTGGATGTATTGACAATGCTCAGAGCCATTTCTCCCTGAATGTGGCGGTCTAACTGACAGGATAATACTGTAAAGACATCATTTATAAAACATACATGTATGTGTAGCTGAACAATTCAATCAATTCATGGTACAGGAAGCTACAATTACAATCTTACATGAAAGAAAAGCAAGCTGTATAAAACACAGCTGCGGTAAAGTTAGAACTTACTGAAGGACAGGCCTAACTGCATGGAATTGTTGTGCAAACCAAGGCCAATAGCACCTTTACAGTAACTGAAAAATGTCAGTGAGGTATTCTTTTGAAATTTAATCATTTTTTTTAATTATAATGTTTGTTGTTCAATGTGTTTGATTTACTCTTATTAATGTCCATGGGTTTTTTTGTTTGAAAAAAAAAGATTCTGTACCATCTCCTGGTTAGCTGTCTGTAGGCATGCAGTTCCATTGGCACTGATCGACCAAATGTAACCTGTCCCTAAGAATAAAACACAACAGTTTATCAAAAACATTATGTACATGTTTATTGAACTAGTTATTACATAAAGCAAAGTTCTTAAAAAGACTAATTTTTATGTAAAATACATACTGAAAATCACAGTTTATTGGCGAGAAATCTAGCTTACAGCTCTTCTAAGATCACAGTTATATACATGTACTATAATAATCAACATTCATGATTTCCCCCACATTTATAAATACCAAATGACTTCTTGAATCTCACAAAAAGTAAGGTGCTGCATTTAGTGATAAACAGTAGCCAAAACTAGAGAATTGAATAATTCCTAATTATTGGACAGAGCAAGGAAGACTGAGCAATGTTAGACTACCTGTAGCCAGCCTTTGTCTGAGGTCTGTCGACGGTATCCCACTAACAAATTTCCAGATCCATTTCCGTTCCTCGAGGAGACTGACCCAGAGACAATGGCCGTGTCCTTTGTAGTTATTGGATAATCTACAGACTGGGAGATGTGGAACTCGGAAATCTCTACGTAACCAAGCCTGTCTCTGTGGAAATTGATATAATACAGTTCATCTAAACATAAGAATCTGGGACTTCAAAATAATCATCCTTAAATAAAAGCACAGCCATCAATATTGCTACATTGTACATGTATTATTTCAATTGTTTCATGATCGAATTCAATCTTCTGACAATTACGGATAATGCCTCAAATAACAGGAATAAACTTAGTGCATCATCACTTACTCATAATCTGGGTCAATGACATAACCCTCAAATAGATTGGTGGCATTAATTCCAACTTCTACCTCTCCCTACAAAACCATTCAATGTTATTACAATAACAAGTGGCACATTCAAACCTGTCATACTATCCTATTTCATGTAAAGGTGTTTGATAATATCAGTACTATGCCACAAATAGTTAATTTATGTTCTCAAACATTGCTGAGAAAAGACAGAAATATTACCGCTGGACTGGTTCTCTGTAACTTGCGTTGTTCCTGTTCATACTTCAATCTATCTAATTCTGCTATGATTTCTGCAGGGGACTTTGTCCTTGTGATAATCTGTGAAAATGACATAAATAAGTTGAAGGGTCTAGGTAATATATTGGTGAAGGTAAATTTCAGAGAGAAAGAAATGTACACTGTATACTGGTAAATATGTACCCAGCATCAAAGTTTCTTTGGTTATACATGCTAATACCAATTAAAATTTTTACAATATGCTTAAATCTCATCAACTTTAAGACTTATATCTGGACATGAAAGAATACCATGCATGCATCAAACTTTTTATGTACCTGCATAATCATATTTCATGTACGATAACACAATTCACTCTGTTTTATTGTTTTTCTTCTGCTTGTGATAGAAATCTAGCCTTTTCATTTAAAAGACATGAGATCCAATTATGCATTAACAAGAGGTCCATGGGCAACAATGCTTGCTGCAGTTGCATGAGTAACCTTTCCCAGTGTTCTTGAGAAGATAAAAAACTTTTTCCTATAAATTTCCATTTAAGATTTTAGTCCCACATCAGTGACTCAACCCTGTCCTCATGGGCCATTATTAAAATGATCTTGAACCTATACTATATTGGGATGCTCATAAAAAAAATTTCACCTACACTATATTGGGATACTTATACATGAAATTTCACCTACACCAAACTGGGATACTTATACATAAAATTTCACCCTTTCCCCCATACATTCATGACCACCCTATTTTTTTACTCTTATTAATCATCTTACAGGCCTGTAGGAAGCAATATCAGTTGGGGGGAGGTGGGGGTCACAACCATGCATTTTCATTTGTCAGCACTTTCAACAACCAAATATTTTATTGAGGGAACACAAGCATATAGTAGCAGTTTTCCACAGTTTTCTGTATATCTCCAAAATCAGTGGGGGAGCCTAGTTAGAATAATCTGTGTCTCAGGACAAGCCCTCACCACAGTTTGAATACCTCCCATATACCCAAAATGTAGCAAAAAATTGCAGAATCACCCCAAAACAATTTTGAAGAATATAAATAACAAACCAGTGCTTTTTTAGGTTGGTTGTGCCTTTAAACATAAAGTATAATCCAAATAAAGACTAAAATTCAACTAATTTTCTCAACGTTTTTTCTCACTTCAAATTTACTCACCATGTTGACATTCAGAACTCTGGATTGTTCGTAGTAAATGCACTGAGTTCAAGTTATTGCCCATGTTGATTTTGCAACATTGTGAATATGCAGAACGAATTCTTAACCAGGTCCATAGGACATTTATAATTCAATGATCAACAGAACATTCTATCTTGGGGGAACCCCTCCAGTACTGCAAAATCCCCTCCCTTTCTTCCCAAGGATTTCAATGCAAATATGTTTGTCAGAAATTCTAAGATCTTTTGATTATTATGTATCAATTATGAACTAAAAACTATAGTATACTCAATACCTACCTCCAGTCCCTCTACCTCCAGTCCTTTCATTCCGTAGCGGTTATAAATTTCTCTCTTATTGGGATTACTAAGTACTATAAATAAAAGAATCATTTAGGCAAAATATCTAAAATTAAAAAATTTAGTCTGATTTTAAAATCATCATCAGTACATGTATTGTGCTTTGAATTACATGAATTATTATATATTAACAATTCATGCTTCATATAGTAATATTTTGAAATTCGTTACTTAGATCACTGTTGAAACCAACAGATCAAATGTAACATTTTCTTTTTTCTATGTAATCTATCAATACACAGGCCTCTTGACTGGTTTAACCAGTTGACAGGGAATTCTTACTCCTCCTGTGCACCTGATCCCAATTCTTTTAGTTTACTGATTTAAAAGATTGATCACTGTTTGTTACCTTCAACTTTTACATTTGATCCATTCCTAGCAATTGCATAAAAAAAAAATTATTTCCAAAAATACAGGAATTATTTTTTTGTCTTTGATATTTTCTACAACTTCGTCCATCCACAACAAACTTACTTTCATAGGCATTTTTGATTTTGTTGAAGAAAACCTCTGCTTGTTTTTTCTTTACTGCATCCAAGTGTTTGTCTGGATGAAATATTCTACTCATCCGTCGAAAGGCTTTGTTGATCTCTTGGTTTGTGGCCTGTTATAAATTAAAAATTCATTCAACCAATCAAACATTACTTCAACAATCCAAAATGAACAACTTCAAATTCCCAAATTCCCATTTCCCAGAGTGAATTTCAATCTTGCTGATTTGCAACTGTCATATCTAATAAATACCTTGTAGGGCTTACTGTACTATAGATTTAGAGTCAAGATTTCCCTGTAAAGGCGCCTAACAATTTACAGCAATCCACAGGAGGCCCATGGGCCAAAACTCTCACCTGAGTAACTATGACCCTTTTGTTCTTCATCAGCAGATTTCTTTTTATGAACCCATCCTATCACAAGGGGTAAAAATTTGTACAAACTTCAAAAATTAATCTTTACTAACTGAAGATGCTTCCATATAAATATGACTAATCATTGCTCTACTTAACTTGATAAAAAGATTTGTAATTTTCCTATGTACTCCAATGTTAAACGTTGATTGCCATTGTGGACTCCTGGGGATCATGGTTTTAACAAATTTAAATATAATACCTGTACCTGATGATGCTTTTTACATAACTAAGGCCAATCATGGCTTTGCTATACCTGTGAAATTTTTATTAAGTACTTCTCTAAATATGATCCCCAAATTCTGCTCATCCTACCCTAAGGGTCATGATTTAAACAAACTTTAATGAGCACTACATGAGGATGCTTCTATGTCTATATCAATGTGATTTATCGTGATTTTGCTATTCTAAAGAAAAAGACATAATTTTCAATATCTTTTTATGTTAAACTTTGATTGACCATTGACCTGCATACTCCTGTCAGTGTGTGTCATGATTTGATGAAACTTCAACCAACATGACCTTACCTGAGGATGTTTCCATAAAAAAAAATTATGATCATGGATTTGCAATTCATGAGATTTTTTTTAAAAGATATAAATTTCCTTAACATTACTTTGTAAAACTTTTGTCAATTGTGTCTCCACTCTACCCCTAAGAGTCATGATTTGTACAAACTTGTTTTTAAACTAGCTGAGGGTGCTTACATATAAACATGATCAACCATTGCCTTGCTGTTCTTGAGAAGAATTTCAAAGATTTATTTTTCCTTTTAATATAATCCTTTGTAAAACTTTGATTCCGAATTCATTGTAGGCCACATCCCACACCATGGGTCAGGGTTTTAACAATATAGCAGGAATTTGTGGGCATCCTGCATCTGAAAATTAACATCCACAAATTTAGTATATACCGGGGTTTCATTGTCATTTTTCCTTTTGAAAAATATGAGCAAATATTTACATTTCCAATGTCTTTGTCCGAGATAAAATTACCAATTGTAAATGTAATTTATTTCCTCATGAATGTTTTGGCGCAGTTCCAAAAAAACCACGTGCAGGGCGGGACAACACCTAGAGAGAAGCAGGCTTGGAGCCCGTGGATTGGCGGAATCAAAGCATGTAAATATAAGGAATAACTGTCAGATTTTTCGAATTCATGAAGATGATCAATGGATTGGCTTGTGTGATAATTTTATGCATAAACGCCTTTGGCGTTTATGCAAATTATCACACAAGCCAATCCATTGATCACGTCATGAATTCGAAAAATAAGACAGTTATTCCTTTTTAAAATACATGAAATTAGGCATCCACAAATCTATAAAATTTAAGCAATCCATTTAGATTGGCCCCCCTGTGCATTAATAAAATGATTCTACAGAATAGACTTTAGAAGTAACAGTCTTTGAGAAAGATATCTGACAGTTGGACATGTAAGTTTACTAATGTATCTTGACAGAGTCATAAAAATGTTTCTTTCATAGAAAAAAATATTGCAGAAATCCAAGTGTGTAAATGACATTGATTAAAACCTCATGGACCATGTCAAGTATTCATGAAGTTGTAAGACTTTCTTGGTTGTAAATATTGACATACTTTAAATCACTTTTTATTCGCGAGAACTTTATTTTCATGTAATTACGCAAGACGACATGCTCGCGAAAAATTTCAATCTCGTGTATAATAGAATTCCTTAAGATTATATAGGGCAATGACCACAATTCGTGAAAATTTTGTCTCGCTAATAAAGAGTCAATGACCATCTCGCGAAAATAAGGTGTCGCGAAAATAAAGTGATCTACAGTATTTCAAATCAATTCAAATGATTCCACAGTAATCATATTATAGGAATAGGATATTACTCAAACCATACCATTTATACTTACTGACATAATTTTTAATTTGTCCATAATTACTGTGAAATCATAATTTTTTGTGGGGGTTAAGTTTTGTTATTTTCAAGGTATGAAGAAATCAATGAATTCATGTCCACCACGAAATGTAAAATGTTACATACATAACAGATTAACTACTAAAACAATCCATCCAAATCCCCATGAACCAATTTGAAGACTTTTCATCAAACCACAAAAATTTGACCTCACAAAATTACGTGATTTTACAGTATACATGAATAAAGATACCCAAGGATAATACATAGTGATTATATCATTCATTTCACATTGACTGTACCGTAATCATATTGGTGGTACATGTATCATCACTAAAAGAAATTCTGATCAGTAAACAGGCACAAGAATTCTGATTCATGGTAGTATGTCAATGTATTAAACTCATATGGGACACAGACCATCTAATTTTTAGCTGCAAATGTAATAATAGGTGCAGTGAGCGAAATAAAGTTCAAACAGCTGGAATGATTCTGAAATTGTCTGCTACATTGCAGGTATATGGGTGGTAATGGACAGTCTCAAGATAAAATTAGATTACTTCTGGGGTACTAGTGTTGCAAAATCGCAATCAGATTTACTATCAATTATCAAAATGACTTGGTGGCATACAATATCAATATTTAGAACTTTAATTCAAAGTTACTTTGTAAAAAAGTTAACCTTGTAAATATTCAGATATTCTAGTAAATAAAAACATTTTTTTTTTCAATAGAAAACAGTGACATCAACATCAAAATATGCTAAGTTGGAAAGTTTGTCCACCATTTCCATAAGAAGGAACATCGTTTGATGAGTTAAGGGATAAGCTAAGTTTGGTTGAACAAATATTTTTTTAAAAATTTATAGCGACAAACAATTTTGAAGTTTTCCATCAATTGCCGCTGATGCACTGCAACAATTTTCTGATGATTTGCAATGATTGTAACAAGACTAGTTACAGCTAAGTTAAAATGAATAGGAAGGTTATCATATAATACACAGCTGCACTCACCATGCTCACCCAACAGTCTAAACAGTGGTGAAAGGTATGACTGGTAGAACTTGATTGATGTGGGAAGTGTTCATACAGGTGGATGGCTATGAGGTCAGGGTGAAAGGTCATAGTGGACATATTTACACATGCAATAGCATTTTGTCTGAACGCTAGGGAGATGCAATGAACGATAACTCTAAATCAACAGATGTGAGTTGTTGACATTCATTTGCGTGTGAGTAGATAAACAATTCACCGGATTGTAATTTCTTTTTGTGATAACGCCCCGGTTTATGAAAATTGAAATTGTCCGAACAAGGTAAATATGATTTCTGCATCATTGTAGAAAGCTATTTTTACTGAGATTTGGAAAAACATGAATTCGGAACGAAGTAAACAATAACATATTTGCAAAGGTATTTCTGCCTCTTCTCAGTTCTATCATCAATTAAAAGTTGCAAAATATAATTCACCAGGTAAATATTTTTTAAGCAAAATCACAGTTTGAACAGATCATGCAATTATTTTCATTCATTTTTTAAATATATTGAAGCGATGTTTTGTTGTTTGATTAGGCCCAAAAAAATTAATCAATAGTTTCTCAGGCACCGCCGCTTCAGTTCAAAAACGGCCGCATTCATCAATTTTATTGACATATTGAAAAGGGATTCCAAGTTGAAAAAAAGTAAATCGAGTTATTCCCCTTTTCATAAATGCAAAGATAGACATTTTTATTAGAAAAACAATACATTTCTTCCAAATTTTCAGTATTTTATGGATTACCGTAACTTTTAAATAAATGTTTGGAGTAACATTATTGAAACTTGAATACATATTATAACCAATTTCAGAGAACAAAAATTAAGAATTGGTAGATATTATCATTTTATTGAACAAATGGCTTAAAAAAGGTGTTTAACCAGCTTCCAAAAAAAAAAAAAAAAAAAAAAAAAATGCCTGCCTGCCGCATTAAATTTTGATTTTTTTGGCCTGAGAAACTGTTGATTAATTTTTTTTTGGCCTTACCTACCTGATGTTTAAATTTTTATTCTATATTTATCACATGTTTTTAATTTAGGTCTATCCACTTTCATTTATTAAATAATGGCAATATTTGCTTATGAACGGTAGTATATACAGTGAATATGTTTGTTTTAAATGCACTTGATTTTTTTCATGTTCTGTGTTACATAATACCAGAGACATGTCTTTGGTTACACCGATACAAAGAAACAGTTTATAGATATACCCAGTGTTTTCAATAAGATTTTCAATAGAAGGAGAAATAGATGGAATAGCAGGAAACCAGTCTCGGCGAGGGGTCTGGGGGCCGCCTTAGGCCCCCAGCGGGTCCAGGGCAGAGCCCTGGTAGGGGGCCCAGGGGGGTGAAGCCCCCCAGCCGAAAACGAAAATCAGCATTTTTGACTCATTTTTCTTAACTCTCAGGCCATTAAAAAAGTACCATTCTTTCACATTGCTGTCACTATCAATTATCAAATTTTACCTAAAAAAGCCAATTCGAAACCAATTTTTACCTTTTCACAGATTTGATTGACAAATTTTTGACAGACTGAGTTTTTTCTTCTGAAAACTAAGTATGTATACAAACATACTATACAATTTAAGTATTAAATTCTAGTACAGACAATTGTCTGTGATAGGATATATTATACTGAAAATTCTACATATTTAGTCCCTTTCACATAAATTGGTCAGGACTTTTATTCAAAATTTAAAAAAAAAAAATTTAGTTAAAAATTTAAGATTTTTTAAACACTTGGTGATGTACAGTACCCCCAAAAAATTGAAATATTCTGCAATCTTAGACTTTTCATAAATTAATCTTTAAACTGATTTACTTTGGCATTTTGTACAGATTGTCAGAACAAAATAATTAAGACTAGAAATATGTCCATAGGACACGAATGCCCCGCCAAGGATATTTAGTAAAGCAACATGAAAATTCGTATGTGTATAAAATTTGATCAGTTTGGTTCAGGTAGGGGTTATAGTTACTAAGGAATTAAAATGTAGGTCAAATCCAGCATCCGAAGCAAGTCTGTTAGTGTCCATCCCTAGATGCATCATCCATGCAAGTTTGGTTCAGGTACGGCTTAAAGTTACTTGAGAATAAAAATGTAGGTCAGATCCAGCATCCGAAGCAAGTCTGGTAGTGTCCATCCCTAGATGCATCATCCATGCAAGTTTGGTTCAGGCAGGGCTTATAGTTACTTGGGAATGAAAATATAGGTCAGATTCAGCATCCGAAGCAAGTCTGGTAGTGTCCATCCCTAGATGCATCATCCATGCAAGTTTGGTTCAGGCAGGGCTTATAGTTACTTGGGAATGAAAATATAGGTCAGATTCAGCATCCGAAGCAAGTCTGGTAGTGCCCATCCCTAGATGGATCATCCATGCAAGTTTGATTCAGGCAGGGCTTATAGTTACTTGGGAATGAAAATATAGGTCAGATCCAGCATCCGAAGCAAGTCCGGTAGTGTCCATCCCTAGATGGATCATCCATGCAAGTTTGGTTCAGGCAGGGCTTTAGGGGTGAAACGATACGCCTCCTTCACGGTTCGATACGTATCGAAAAATTTGGTCTCGGTTCGGTTATTTTCGGTACGATACATTTTGATAGAAGGAAATCAATTCAACTGTTGCTTTATCCTTCCTTTTATTTAATCTAGTCAAAGAATTTATGTGCAAAATGGATAGAATAAATCACCTTAATTGATTTGACTGTTAAAAAACATTTTACAAACTTTAAGTCCACAAAAATTTACGTTTTTGAACTAGAGAAGCATGTTGATACCATATGCCAAACCCGACTGAATGACGATCCCGACCGAAAAACGAATTGAACCGAAAGTAGAGACTTTGTACCGTGTATCGAACCGAGAAAAAATACCGCGGTGAACCGTTTCACCCCTACAGGGCTTATAGTTACTTGGGAATGAAAATATAGGTCAGATCCAGCATCCGAAGCAAGTCTGGTAGTGTCCATCCCTAGATGCATCATCCATGCAAGTTTGGTTCAGGCAGGGCTTATAGTTATTAGGGAATTAAAATATAGGTCAGATCCAGCATCCGAAGCAAGTCTGGTAGTGTCCATCCCTAAATGCATCATCCATGCAAGTTTGGTTCAGGTAGGGCTTATAGTTACTTGGGAATGAAAATGTAGGTCAGATTCAGCATCCGAAGCAAGTCTGGTAGTGTCCATCTCTATATGCATCATCCATGCAAGTTTGGTTTGGGTAGGGCTTATAGTTCCTTAGGAATGGACCTGCTTCAAAAACTATAACCTGGTCACTCATCAGGAAAATGTAGGTCAGATCCAGCATCCGAAGCAAGTCTGGTAGTGTTCATCCCTAGATGCATCGTCCATGAAAGTTTGGATTGGGTAGGGCTTATAGTTCCTTGGAAATGGACCTGCTCCAAAAACTTGAACCTGGTCATTTATCTGGAAAATGTAGGTCAGATCCAGCATCAGAAGCAAGTCTGGTAGTGTTCATCTCTAGATGCATCATCCATGCAAGTTTGTATCAACATGTGAAATTTGATAACACCAACTTGAATGGTATGTTCAAATCTGAGCTAAACACCAATTTAAGAAAAGTGAGGTCAAGGTCAAAGGAAAGGTCAGGGTAAAAAAATGTTGATGCAGTTGCATAGCTCTCATCAATATCTATCAGCATATGAAGTTTGATGAAAATATCTTGGATAGTTTCAAAGAAACTTAGCTTTGAACAGAGCTAAACGCAAAGTGTGACGGAAGACGGAAGGACGGAAGGACAGAAGGACGGAAGGACGGAAAGACGGAAGGACGGAAGACGGACATGACAAACACTATATGCCCCGGCCATATTCATGGCGGGGCATAAAAATGGAATTTGATACAAAATACTAGTATATTAAAACTTTACCAAATGCGAAAATGATACTGTTCCTGTACTTCAAGAGATCTTACACAAATAGATGAGAATAAAATTTTACATTTTCAGTTTGAGGAAATTCTGTAAGAATATTTCTACCTCTGAGTCACGATTAAAATATTAAGACTTTTATTCGTAATTATTATGTCTTAGCTTAACATTTTATATTTTCAGTTTGAGGAAATTCTGTAAAAATTCAACATTTTTTCGTAAGGTCTTAAAATTATATTGGCCTAGATATAGATATTTGCTGTTGTTTCAACGGGGAACCCTTACTTAACATTGGGGTTGCCGCACAATCAATTTGCAATCGAAAATTTTAAAACACAAACAGATCTTTTCGGAAGGGACCATTCTTTATGCCTCTCAATGTATGTGATCTCAAGCGCATGTGTTACAGCAGGCCAGCAGGTTTCTCCACGACTTTGCTCAAATATTCGTTATCCGCGACGCCATTATGTACATGACACAATCGATCTAATCAAACTTCCTTGAAAAAAGAGCGCACTCAAGGGAAGCTACTCTAGATCATGGAAATAGTTGCGATAAAATCTATGAATTTCACGTATCAGCCCCGGCAAAATCTTATGACAGAACTTTCATAGCCGGCAAAATTTCTCATACAGGTGGTTAATTTTGCTGGTTGCCGGCTCTTATTGAAAACACTGTATACCCATGGTATGGAGTTACCTTTCCCAACTGAAAATTTAGCCTTGCTGTCAGAATAGTTTCCCTTGAATCACAGATCACTGTCTGAGGTAGGTGTCATAACAGTATTTCACTTGAGGTTCACGTCAAATCATGGCTGACGCAAAATAATCCCTGAATCTCCCCTCCCCTAAAATTTAGGGCGTGCTGATTTTTTCTATATATTGTACTGAGTGATTAGACCCTGGACTAGATTTTCAAGCACCTGCTCGACTTTGACCGATACAAACTTGCGTGCCTTGTTGGATGGCTATGTATTTTTTGGTACTTAAATCTTTATAAAGAATTGTTTTACAAGATCTGAAAAGGAAAATTCTCAGAAGTTTGTTCTAATTACATCTACTCAAACTTACGCATTTTTGGTAAGAATAAATATCAGAATTTAATACTGTTGTGCAACTGGTAGGCTGTTTCTTTCACTTGTATTTAAGCAAATTTCATTTGGAATCTTCCATTGTATGTAGATAGAATAATGAAATAATATCACATTTTTAAAAAAATCCTATATGCAATATTTCACTTAAAATATTATGCAACTTTTTTTAAAACCCGAATTTACTCTACTCTTCATCTTGCAGTTGCATTGGTTTGTGAATGAATGAAATATTATAAAATATATTAAAAGTAACAATTTTAAAAGATCTTAAAAGATTTTGAAAAACGCCAAAGTCATAATTACATTTCAAGTGTTTAACGTTTAGGGTATAATTTAATTTTAAACCAAGCTGAGTTAACTCGAAATTTGAACAGACGATAGGTCATGCGGTCAATTACAAAGTCATCATTAGTTCCTTACAAGATATATAGAAAATAAATGTAAATTCTTTCAATTATGCATTTGTCAAATCTTATTAACTGTTTAAAAATAAACCTTTCTATCCACATTTAGTAGAACATAGAGATCATCAGCTTGCAATCCATCGTCATCCATGGAAGCCGCCATTTTTTTTATTTAGATGAATAGTAACTGGTACTAAGGATATTCGTTTATAAATCAGTTCATGCCTAACGAATCAAATGTTCTTAGTTGATTATATTTCTCAAAATTAAGTCAAGCAACTTCCCCAATAAAAGTTAATATAACTTTTAAATATACTCTTATTTGAAAAGGTAGACAAGTCCCTAGGCCTACAGAAGTACTAATTATTTTATTTATCCCTCCAGAGACATATATGGTTTTATATGTCTCTGATGGGTAACCCGAATTACCGAAATGACCCTGATTTACCGAAATGCCCCTGGAAATTACCGAAATGCCCCCTAAAACTACCGAAATGCCCCTTGAATTATATTCTAATAGGCATTTCATGATAATTTATGATAAATTTTATTCAGAAATTTAAATTATTCGGCATGTAAATTGACATCATTCAGAAAATAGTTCTGCTAATATGAAAACAAAATTAATTAAATTGCTTTCATTTGTTTCAAAAATTTATAAAAATATATATTTCAGTTTTCCTCAAATCGGATTAATATGTCGATATTGTGCATGTGTGTTCATTTTGATAAAATAATTTAACTGTTAACAAATATATCAAAAAATATTTTGATTAAATATTAAGTTGCGTAGCATTAGCTAGGTATTAACTAAATCTTTTTTATATTTAACAACGAATTTTAAATAAGTGATATAAATGATCGATGAGTAACGTTTAAGCATTACAAAAATTATATTCACGTAAAAAAAACAATTCTTCGACAGTAATATAAAATTTGAAACAATAATGTAGTATTACATTGAGATAGATCAACTACAAATACCAGAGTTATCTCTCTTAAATAAACACACCTTTTTGAACTAAAAACACATCTGTAATTTTTTTTTTATTTCTGAGTTTAAAATATATATAATAAACTCACTACCTTTCATATCAATCAAAGTATTTAAGTTTTTAAAGGGCATTTCGGTAGTTTTAGGGGGCATTTCGGTAATTTCCATGGGCATTTCGGTAAATCAGGGGCATTTCGGTAATTCGAGGTACCGGTCTCTGATCCCTCTAAAAGGGACTCTTCATTTGAAAAGACTAGAATCCCCTAGCTACTGACACCTGTACACTGCTTTGAGACACAGACACTTATAGCCCCCTCCCACTTTTTCAAAACACAACTCTAAATTTACTATTCTAATGCAATTGTTTTGTAAAACACTTTTTGATTGGCTAATGCACTGATGTTTGAAGCAGTAAAACGAGCATTAACGAGCGTGAAAGCTTTTTCATTGTGACGTCATAATAGAGCGACGCAAAAACACAATGCTCCGTGACGTACTTCATGTAACAAAATTCAACAAAATAAGAACTAAACAATAAACAAAATGCATGGATTGCATTAGAATGGGAATAACTAATCTCCTAATTTGGTATTTGCGACCGTTAATGCTGATTTAACGGTCGCAAACATCCGTTTTACCAGCATTGCCGGTAAAACTCAGTTTGCGACCATTAAATCAGCATTAACGGTCGCAAATACCAAATTAGAAGATAGTTATTCCCTAATTGAAAATGTTCATCCCGGCCCCTTCCGTTTTTGTTGTAGTGACGTTGCGCACGGTGTTGGTACAATCTATTAACTTTATGTAGCAAAGAAACTGGCGGTTTCACGATGTCATATTAACTTTAAATTCAAAATGAAATTATCAATGTTATCCAAAGTAATAAATAATTCTTAAAATTCTCTTTTAAATAGTTTTAAAATATTTTAACTATGATGAGGCGTTATTCATTATTGGCCATTTACGGCGAAATTCCCGTGTCCGACGTTACATAAGTTATTGTTCGCGCAACTACAAGGTATGAAAAATGCACTCACAATTATCTAAATTAAATGAAATTTGGGGATACAATAAAATATATGCATTCTTTAAGATATTGTTGAGTTTTTAATACCATTTTATCAATTTCTTGAATTTAGACTGGATATACAGTGCGTAAACTTGTGTATAACAAAAAAAAATTGACATTAGCCGACATGGCGATGTGTACAAAACATAAATTCCAGACAAATATAAATTTTGGTGAATAATGGCTTATACACATATTTTTAAGATTAATTATGTAGATACATTTTATATTACTTCTCCAATGTAAATATTAGGAAGGCTTTAATTTGTTACAACGCACTTTGAAAAAAATTTTCAAAGGGAGTTACATTTGGGACCAAATCAACGCACTTTGAAAAAATAAAATTTCTTTTCAAAGTGCGTTAATATCTACCATATTAACGCACTTTGAAAAAATGTGTATGGATTAGTCAATATTCTTTCAAATCTTAGGTATGATAAATAATTGAACCTGTATGATAACTCTTCGGTGATGAGGCCACTTCAGGAAGTGAAAGTGAGCGATTTTGATTTTTCCATACTTTGAAAATTCTTTCTCTCTTAAATATTTTACTGTACTTAATTTTTTCTAGTTTGCATGCATTTTATGTAAACTGAAATTTATTGTAAGTTTTCAACGTCATACCAGTTATGTAAATACATATATTTGGGTGTAGCATAGGCATCAGTACCGGGAAGGGTGTGGGTGGGGGTTAGGCACACAATTGGTTTGCAAAGATATGCATAATATATGCATTAAAAATTGATGCTTACCTTGGGGGTCAACTTTCAATTTGCTTCCGACGGCTATGTACAATGAATAAGAAGAAAGAGTTGGGATAGGAGATCTTCTACTAGTCTTAACCTTGTTCTAAATGAGGTTAAATGAGTGCATGTAAATTTGAAAAAGTCTTTCGAAAGATATAATTATTACAAATTGAATCTAAGTATGGCATTTTTTTTTGTTTTATACATATTTTTTTTCAAAGTGCCTCAAATGCCCCCATGGTAAAAATGTTTATGTACACTCTTAACGCACTTTGAAAATTTTTTTCAAAGTGCGTTGAGTGTGCCCCAAATTTAATGCACTTTGAAATTTTTTTTCAAAGTGCGTTGATTTTGTTCCAATTTTAACGTACTTTGATTCACTTCACAAAGACATATCAGCACATAAATCGGAATAAAAAAAAATCTAGTCGTGTACTCACCATATAATTTTTTATTCAAAATGACGACCAGTTCCATTGAAACGTAGGGAGTATGAAAATTTTAACTCCTTTTTTTTTCTCGATACTCCCAAGGTGCATGCAAACACTATTTAGAAAAAGAAAACTTGTAATGACATAACTGAAAAAAAATTGAAGGAGGTTGAAAGGGAAAGCTATTTATGTGTTATTTCTTTATAAGACAGACAGTAAAATGTGAGGAAAAAAAATAGAAAGAGGAATAAAGGATATTCACTGAGGTACCGTTACTAGACGGTAAGGGCCGACTGTGAACTGAAATGTATGACAGAAATCGAGATTTCTTTATGAAGCTTTTCCATTAACAACTTTCTTTAAATGCATTTTCCGATACTATACCTATATATTTATATTTTATATTTTTATATTATATTTATTTATATGATACTGAAGAGTCTGCTCTACTGCATGAGTGCGATATTTTTTTAATGTTTTTGTATGTTTAAAAGCCACGGGTACTTGTTTCTGTAATTAATAAATTTTGAACCCTAATTATAATATTAATTTTGCGTTATCATTATACTTTGGGTTAAAAAATTAAAACAGAAACAAGTTCTAATATAAGAGTAATTTAAACCCCCCCCCCCTATTCAAGCCCGGGGCTTATTGGACTATTTTTATCACAAATCATATTTATTACACTTATTCATCATGTGTACCATATGAAACAATTGTAAAAACCTCAAATAATAATTCAAAAAACAAACAAACAAACAAAAAACCAAAACAAAACTGAATATTTCTTCAATTAGCACCACCCGTTGAAAATAAATATTGGTCACTTCCGGCTCGTCGACTACTGTGGGATGGGACTGTTTTCTGTTTAATGTTTGAACACATATATCATGTTTTTAAACCAGTTTCATTGTTGAAATTTAAGGAATATTTATGCAATAACATATCTGTATAATGGTTTAACAACATGACATGGTAACTGGAAATACCGGAAGTGTTTTGATGAGTTTGATTATGGTATAAACGTAGATTACAGGTAACCTTTTTATGTTTTGTTTCTGATGGAGGATTAAGCATTTCCTCAAGGCTTTTTGCATTTGTTGATAAATTTATTTAATTTGCATTTGATATTCAATACTCATGAGTCGATGAACGTGATTGAAATAACCACCTTGATTTCAACTGATTTCAACAGGCACACACCACCATAATCCGAGATTCCTCTGACTCTAACCCCTGCTTTTATATTGTTGGGGTTAAAGTCAGAGGAATCTCAGATTAACTCCACCATATGGTCATTAACCCCCATTTGGTAGTCAATCACCCATATCGGATTCGTTTTTTTCCTACCAAATGGGAAGAAAAATTGTTTGGGTAGACTTTACTTTACCGGTCCCCAAATCCGCAAGACCCTCGCGCTCATTGGACTATGACGTAACAACTACGTCACTCAACTGAAATGGGTTAAATTTGCACACTATTCGACTGATTAGGATTAGTCTTGCACCCACCTTAGAGATTAGGGTTAGTCCTTGCACTAGTATTCGACTGATTTTGGTTAGTCTCGCGTCCATCCGAGAGATTAGGGTTAGTCCTCGCACATTATTCGACTGATTAGGGTTAGTTTAGCATCTGCCAGGAAGATTTCGTCTGAACGTCTTAGTCCTTGCATACCATCCGATGGATTAGGGTTAGTGAATCGTTCTTTTAGTTAAGTTAAGAAATTCAGTCGTTTCTGTAATTTTTCCAAGATCATAATTCCGATTCATAGGCATTTCCTTCGTTTGTTTACATGGAAGATTGACTAAGTCCGAAAGAAATGACAAAAGTTCAGAATTATTCTTTGTCGATTTTTTCCATGAGTAAACAATGTTTATTAATTTTTTTCAGAGAACGAGGTTAAAAACTTTGTTTAAAAACAAAGTTTTAAACTAAACTTTTAACCGTAGAATTCAAATTTGGGGTCAAAAGGCCAAAAAAACTCGTATTTAAAATTTTTTTCGATCGCTCACGCGATCTCATATATACTGAAGTCGCCTTCGGCGACACTACATTTTAGCGCGTTTTTCTGGGGACCGGTAAAGTAAAGTCGTTCCAATTGTTTTGTTCAGTTTTATGGAATGACGTGAAATGGGCATAATTTTAACTTGCAGGGAATAAAATAGCCATTTGTCAGTGATCTAAACACACAAAAAATTTGAAAATTCAACACAGAATTTGTTGTGCACTGTCGTTCAAATATTTGACAAAATACGTAATATCACGAGTACCTCGCAGTTATCTAACCTACTACTGCGCTTTTGTGGGGAGTTGAGAAAGCTCTAAATCTCGCAAGATTTCTGGGGCACTTGACATTGTTTACAGTAGTGACAATGGAATGAATCTAACAATTTTATGCCGAAAGTACGATGTATTGCCAAGAATTGAATTCCATATTGTAGATTGTCAAATAAGGAAAGTTTAGAATATTTAATCAGCCTTAAAATGTGACGATTTTCAATGAAAATTTAATGAGAAAAGTCCGCTTAGTTAAAAATGTCGTAAAAGATGTAGCATTTTAGGATTAGCTCTACCCAAAAAGCAGATACATTGTAAATATGCATACTAAACCACAAATAGTCGCACAGATATTGTGAATCCCAGATTGTTTACAGAATTTATTGGTCTTTGTAGGTGTTTTTCCAATGTCCATGCAGAATTTTATCATTGCTCACTGCTCCATCTATTCCGGAAACATCCCTTTTTCGAACAATTCCAATCCTGTCTTAACATGTTCTAACTTTGATTGCTCAGCCATTTTGAAACTTTGAATGTTCAAATTTTGCAGGTTTGATGTGATAACGTCTGTCAACTTCATACTATAAAAGTCATCCAGATTTTTGCGGAATTTTATAAAATACAAATGAAATTTATTAAAAAGTGATAATTTATAACAGTTACTGATAAATAATTTTTTAATTGAAAGTTTGTGGTGCTCTGGGTCTCCATTCCAGGTCTAACTATGAAGCCATAAGGCCAGATAAAATTAATATTTAGATTCTCATCCTAATTTGCTTAAATATTGGGGCGGGAGGGCGGATATATTTTTTATTTTTTTAAATTGCTATATTGTAAGTATTAACGAAACATGGACTCTTCGTACACATTTTTTAAATTATGTTAATGCAAATATGAATAGATTTGATTCTTTTCATATTCTTCTAAATATTTAAAGAAGATTCTTGCTTAAAAAAAATTAAATATATACATGTATTGCTATTTAACGAATTATCAAGTACACAAATACGGCATGCGCCAAACAAAATGAGGTCAAGGTCATAGCAGAATTTTATGAAAAATCCTTGTGCAGAGCATATCTTCTCTCTCCTTGGCCCAATCTGGCTCATACTTCACCCACAGAGTGCCTTTGGGTAACTGGTGTGCAGTTACCTTAAACCATGTTTCAAGGTCAAGGTCATAGCAGAATTATTATATTATATTACACAAATGTTCCTCTTCAAAATAAACCCTTTTCAACTACCTTACATTTTCATGTTCATTGTTGAAAGCTGGGCTGTTTGAGATGGCCACCATCTAAATGATATCTAATTATTACTGTTACATATTTTCAAGTTCAAATGCTACTTTTCCTCTGTTATAAACCAGTAGAGCTAAAGTCTCGTCAGAGACTTCTGGTTTTTTGTTTGAACTAGTTCAGCTATCTTTCATTTTATATTTATTTTATAAAAGTTATGAACTTACTTTCATAGATAATTTTTTTTTCAAGAGATGCATTTTACACTGTTATCAGTTTAATTAAACCAATTATTATTTATTATTAACAGGTATTCCCAAGGACAATGGGAGCAGAGTGGATTTTATTGACATTTATCTTGGTGTACAATGGCCAGGGGTTGGTAAGTACTTAAGAATTAGAACTAGAAATTCCTAAAAGAATAAAGTGCATAATGTACATGGATCTTGTACATGAATGAAGTTATCAAGAAAAGCTATAAATGTTGTACATGTATAGCTGTTTTTTCTAGCAGGAGGAAAATTTGGCATTTTGCTTAATCAGCGTGGTTTAAGGGTTTATTTATAATTTAGGAGGAATTTAAATTAATGGATACATGGTTTTATAATGGCAAAAACTCACAAAGAAGAATACTGAACATTACACAAAAATTAGCACACTGCTAAAATAATATACTTATTGTGTTTATTGAAAGGGGAAGCTAGAGAAAAATCAGATCTTACTTGAAGAAAAAAAACTTAGACAAGCAAAAAAAAAAAAAAAAGAATCTTTTCCTAATTTGTTGTTAGCTAATCCAAGCTGGAAGCTCAAGTAGGCTTAAAATTCTGATCACATTTTGTCTGTTGTGCATCCAGCTGCCTGTCTGTCTGTAAACTTTTAACTTGTTTGACTTCATCACAAACACAACTTGGCCAATTTCAACCGAACTTAATTACTACAAAGTATCATTTGGCGAAGGGAATTTAAGGTGTGTTTTTTTTTATTGAAAGTCAACACCCTCCTTCAAGGTTAGAAAATTAAGAATTAGAGAATAAATACATGAAATAATTGGCATATTTTAAGAATCTTCTTCACAAGAACCGCTGGGCTAAACAAAAAACTTTTCAAGTAAAAGGGGAGGGGCAATTAGGCTTTTAGATAACATTTTCAGTTGTGAAAAGTACAGTAGTTTGGGGAAGAAATTCAAACCCCACCCCCCTCTAAAATTTACATTCAAACTTTTCTTTCTCTTCTGAAAAGGCTTGAGAAGGCATATAGTATTTAGGTTATCATTCTTATATTGGACAACATGCTTGATATACATTGGCAGTTGACATCTGTTATTAGTATTCTACCACTTTGATCATCAAACATATTCAGATATTTTTTATACCCCACGCTTGAAAAACAGAAGGGTATATAGTAATCGGTATGTCCGTCCATCTAGCTGTACATCCGTCTGTCTAGCTGTCCGTCCATCTGTTATGTTTTGGGGTACCAGTCTCTTATCCGCAACTCCTCTCATACCACCGAATGAAATTTGATGAAACTTTCACAGAATCTTTATTACATATTGCCATTGTGCACCTCCTATGTTAGTTTTTGATCCGACACATATTTTGGGTTTACCATAGCAAAACATGGACACTGCCATTATATTCATATGGGAGGCGGGGGGTATCATTTAGTGAGCTCATTGCTCACAGTACCTCTAGTATTAACAAGAAATGTTATAAAATCATTGCAAAGTGAAACTCTTTCCGACTAAATGCATTTCATTAAAATAGTGTACCTATGATTCTTGGCTGACTACTGCATTTCAGTAAGTGTGATATTTCATTCATTATTTGTGTTGGGATGTTGAATCTGAGAGCAGTATGTTGTTGTACAGTAATTATTTATCAAGTCCTACTCATACTTTTACTTGGTTTTTGTTTAAGTGGAAAACCACTTACTCTGACAAGGTCTATCAAGGATTAATCTAGGGCATATTTACTACCGATATTCGATGTTTTCCCCCTAGAGAAAATTTCTCCTAAAGATCTAATTTTCCTTTTTTGATGATTAAAATATTCCTCCAATAATAAAAACTTCAAATAATTTTTTCCTTCATAAAAACTGAAAATTTAAAGTAAAACATTTTAGTATATGAGAAATATGGTTTTACTTTGCTACTTTATGCATTTAAAATGGATATAAAAATGCTGAAATTCAATTGGCCCCCAAGAAGGGCTTGCCCTGCACTCACTTGAGTGGTTCCCAGACCCCGCCTAATTTTCCCAATTTCTCAAGAAAGGGTAGTTTCCCCAAAAACCTAGATTAATCACTGTCTATACACTTAGTACTCTGCAATGTTGCAAAGGATCTTGATAAGGTTCTTTTCAAGTAGGGGATATTAAGTTCAGTCTGTCTGTCCATTTAGCTGTTCATCCATCTGTCTTTATTTCTACATGTATCTGTCTGTCTGTAACACTTTGATTTTCGTTAGATATCTAGGAAAGCCTTTGAGCTTTTGCAATGAAATTTTATTTAACAACTTCCTATAGCGTAAAGAAGACTTTTGATTTTTACTAGTTCAAAAGGTCAAAAATCAAGTTCATAAATTTATGAATTCCGTCTGTTTTTACTCGAGGGACACAGATTCTCTGAAGTAGCTTTTTTTCGGCATATTGGTAAGTTTTACTAGCAATTATTTTAAGAATACTTATAGTGGTTGTTTAAATACTTACAGGGGGAAGAATCAACACAGGGATGGATAAACAGAGGCCAGATCAGATGTTACGTACAAAAGTGTGCAAAGGGTAAGTTAAGTAAAAAATTAAGCAATTCTCTCTGTAAATAGATGCAAGTGCTTGTAATTTGTAACTGTTTAAACCAAAATTCAAAAAAATTTTGCTACAGAAATCAAGATTTTAAATATAAAACACAATAACTGTAAATAAATAGCAATTAGACTGTCAGTCTCTTTGATTTTGGTTCGATAAAGGGAACCTTCTCAATTTGAAAAACCCTCTAAAATTCCCAATATCACAAGCTAATACATACATGCCTTTGATTGTTGAATGTTTCTATTAAGAAGATTTCTTTCTGTACACAGATCAGGTTTTTCGTCCTTGTACTAAAGATTCCACTAAGGATACATGTGTAGACTGCCCAGAAGGCTACTTCCTGCCTGATTTAATTGACACTTCTAAATGGACCGAACCACCCGAATGTTACAGAAATGACTGTGACATGTGTGATCCAACTGGTAAGATCTTTTTTTGATGAGAATGCTTTCAACCCCTAACCCTCCTACCCCCTTCCAAGTAATTTCTGTCATGTCTGTCATTATTCAGATAATTATACCCCCGCTTGAAAAGTGGGAGGGTATACTGTAATCGGTATGTCCGTCTGTATGTCTAGCTGTCTGTCCGTCCGTCCGTCTCTCTGTTATGCTTTGGGGTACCCATCTCTTATCCGCAATTCCTCTCTGACATACCACTGAATGAAAGGATGACTGCACTTAACACTGTGTTTTGGGTCTTTTTCGGTCGCTTCTATTGCTTTTAAATCTTAACCTAAGTTCACTTTCATGCATTTACTACAGTGTTCTATCAATTTGACACCCAATTTGAATGTTAAAAATAATTTTAGACTGTATTGCAATAACTAATTTCATGCTTTTGTCATTATGGTTTTCCAAATATAGAGAATTTTACATCTATCTGCCCTTGATTGAACATTATGTATGTATGAGAGGCAGAGCTAACATATCGTAAGAATGAATCTAAAATTAGACTGGATGAATAACAATGACATGTATTAAAAATATGAGATCTCTATTTTTTTCATCTTCTTATTTTTTCTGTATGGCACAAGTACATTATTTACTAGAGGTTTAAAACGTATGAGCCCATTCATGTAAGTAAAGAATATTTTAAATCGATGGCTGACTATTTAACGTGTTCAAGCACAGTGTCTTATTTAGCTAAAAACATGCTACCTATAAGACACGTGACGGAATTTTGTATTCACAAAATTACCTGAGGGAAGATATCACGTGGTGAATTGTAATATTCAACATGTCACAGTCCTTGGTTACAACAGAGAGAGCGAGTGTAAGAAGAAGCAGTTTTTTTTTCTCTTTTAAACCATGAGCGTTGCCCGCATGTTTGTCTATTAATCTCCTTTTAACACAACATAACTAATACAAATATACAACTACTGTTAAAAAGAGAACAATAGACAAACATGCGCTGACTATGTATAAAGTCAGCAAAAAAGTGGGCGTCCTCATTATTGTATGGAGTAGGGCTGTCACGGGTACCCGAAATGACCCGGAACCGCGGAACAATTACTTCGGGACGGGTACGGTTCCGTTTTTCCGGAATTCGGTTCGGGTCCGAGATGTATAATAGAGAAGATTTTACTATAAAAATGGCGTCAAAAACGAGAGATTTGTTAGTACATTGTCATGAAAAGGCAGGATTTCAGATTGGCGTCGGCCATTTGCCAATAAAATTTCAAAATGGCAGGAAAAAAATAAATTTACCTGCCATGTTGGCCTATAAGTTTGATATTGAACGGACAGAATGGCCGATTATCTTCTGTATGTAAGGGCCAGTCGTATAATTTTCCCCCCTTCAGATGCGATTGTTTTTCTCTACTTTCTGCAACTGCCGATTCAATCAGCCAATGACATTTTGGTATAAATAGATCTTGACAAAATACTCTATAATTTTATTTCCAAACCCAACTGCAAGGAGCATAAGAGTAGTGATGAATGTTTAAAACATCGAAGAAACCCATGCCATGTTATTTTTACCGCCATGATTGAATATGGGGTCGGACTAATAGCAGGAAACGGACAATGTTGCAAAGTTTTACTAAGGGAAAAAAATTATTCTATGTAATCTTTAAACGTGATTATACATTGAATATCATTAGAGATACAAGTCTAATTTTTGGATTACTATTTTTAAAAATTATATTCCCAAGAAATAAATATATGTACAAGTAATAAAAGGTGGGACTAATATAAGTTAAATACCCATTGAATGGAATTAAAAAAAAAACAATTCCCATTCTGTTTCAATATATTAATTTTGTTTAAAAGAAAGCAAAATAATATTTCCACCTTATTAAAAGGAAAATTAATATTCAATTATTCATATTTGAATATTTTATGTAATAAAATGACTATTTTGTAAAAGTCGGACAGAAATCTGAGCTTGTTTAACTTTTCTATTGGCCTATAATTTTAGGAAGTTTAGGACAGAATGGCCTATAACTTTTCTGGTAAATATGCCAGATGTCCTATAGTTACTTAAAAATTATTTCAATCTGAGACCCTGAAAGGTGATTTAAATAATTTGGTACAATTGTTGTCTAGTCAGGAGGCTACTTTAAACTAGTTATAATGTTGCAATTTCTAAGATTAAATGTGGAAATGATACAAATCATGAGCTTTTCTTCCATTATCTACCCGACCCGAGAAACCCGAAACCGAACCTAAAAAAATCAGAACCGACCCGACCCGAAAAATTTTGGAACCGTGACAGCCCTAGTATGGAGATTGAAGAACTTGTGATGACCACCGCCTTAGAAAAGAGATTCGTACATCGTAAATAAATACTTTTATTCATTGTAATTAAGTAAAGTTGTAGATAAGATGATGATCATTCCTGTAAGTAAAAGGAAAATATAAGTTTGGAAAGTTTATTTTCACGCAAATTTAGCAGATCCTTAAGTGCAGTCATCCTTTAATAAAACTTTCACAGAATCTTTATTACATATTGCCATTGTGCACCTCCTATTTTACTTTGTGATCCAACACATATTTTGAATTTCCCATAGCAAAACATAGACACTGCCATTTTATACATATGGGAGGCGGGGGTTATCATTTAGTGAGCTCATTGCTCACAGTAACTCTAGTTTTTTGAAATATTGTTTGAAAAAATGAGATTTTTTAAGAAGAAATCTTTTGAGAATTAATAAATTATATTCAGTTAAAGAAATGCTCACCCCTCTCCTCAACCCCAAAAAGGCAATTATTATACCCCCTTCGAAGAAGGGAGGGCATATTGCTTTGCTGCTGCCTGTCGGTATGACTGTCAGTATGTCGGTCTGTCGGTCCATTTAGTTTACGTTCATTTTCTTCACAACTGTTGCATGTACTGAAATGAAATTTGGTATACAGGTATATCAGATGAATATCTAGATCAAGTTCTGTTTTGGATATGATCACACCATTTTTGATAGAGTTATGCCCCTTGGACTTAGAAACATTCCAATTATTTGCAGTTTCCGTTCATTTTCTTCAGAGAGGTTGCACATACTGAAATGAAATTTAGTATACAGATTTTCTAGATGAATATCTATGTGGAGTTCTGTTTTGTATATGATCGCACCATTTTTGACAGAGTTATGCCCCTTGGACTTAGAAAAATTTCAATTATTTGCAGTTTCCGTTCATTTTCTTTGCAGAGGTTGCACATACTGAAATGAAATTTAGTAAACACTCAGATTAATCAGATGAATATCTAGGTCAAGTTCTGTTTTAGGTATGATTGTGCCATTTTTGACAGAGTTATGCGCCTTTGGACTTCGAAAAATTTTATTTTTTTTTCAGGGGGGAGGGGGGAGAGGGGGGCATAAGTGTTTTACAAACATCTCTTGTTGCATAAGTTAAATGCATGCAATATGACACATTAAGATTCAGTTAATTTTGTTTACTATGTTAACTAGATTCTGTGCTGGACAACCCAAAAGAATGTGGAAATACACAAAAGGCTCATTGTGTGTGTGACAGAACCAAAGACTACTATGGTGAAAATGACCCAGGACCAGTGACATCATGCACAAAGAAAATCGGTGATCTCTGTCACAGGAAAGGGGTACAGTTAAATCAAAAAGGTAAATAAAGTACAAATGTTCCTCTTTTATTACATAATTTACTCATGTATATTTTCTTGACGTACATTCTCAAATTAAATGCATTCATAGATGTTTGTCTAAGAAGTGCAATGATTACCTGTTTAGTCTAATTAGTGAAACGATTAATTATATAGACAAGTAACATATTAATAAAATATTCATCCAGACAGAAAAGAACACAGAGGCATGCAAACTGTTTGCATGGTGAACATGGCCTGATCCAGTTTTTTTTTTTTAATTTATGCCCTTGTTTAGAGATCAGCTTTACTGAAAATGTGTATTGTGTAATGTGTCATATTAATATGATGGAAGCCAAATTCTAATGTTTTAATCAGTTTACCAGAGGCCTGTTCAACAGAGTGAGCGCTCACCTACATTTCTGTTGGAGGTACTGTAAATCACTTTTATTCGCGAGAACTTTATTTTCATGTAGAGTGCTCGCAAAAATATCATTCTCACTTCTGTTCGTATTCTTAAAGAATGTAAAGAGCAGACAATGAAAATATTGTCTTGCTAATGAAGAGTAAATGTCTTTCTCACGAAAATAAGGTGTTGCGTAAATTAAGTGATTTACAAAATAAGGAATTTTGGTGAGCGCCCACGAACCTGCGCTTTGTGGAATAGGCCTCTGGTTTAGATAGAGTACTTTTTTTCATTAGTAGTGAAAAAAAAGTTCATTTTAATACAGTAATGAATCATTACTGTAATTGTGTGAGAAATATCTACAAGTTTCATGACCTAACTCAAGAATATTAAGAGCCATTCTCTGTAATGATTTGAAATTTTATATAGGAGCTGTGGCACACATAGTCTCAGAATTTCTCTAAACTCTCTATGATAAAAGTCATTGATACCCTAAACTGAAATCAGACAAAAATTGGTTGCTATGTTTTATAGTTACCATGGCAACATGTCTTAAAGTTCGAAAAAAGGCATTTTTTAAACATGTTTAGAGCCCCATAGTTAACATTTGCGGCAAAGCAAACAACTGGCAATGACTGTTTCCAAAAGTTGAAGGTCAGATGTCTCAAATGCATGATAAACATGTTTGGTAAATCAACTTTTACATATGTTACTATGGTAACAAAGTATTCAAAAGTAAAAAAAATATTCATTGAATTTTATAAAGTCACAACCGTAAAAATAATTAAGAAATAAATAACAAGTTTATAAACTTCAATGGGAATTGAAGTGGGTCGGTCACGTGATCAAATCCTGTGAAGGCCGAAGGCCTTCTCAGAAGATTTGATCACGTACCGACCCACTTCAATTCCCATTGAAGTTTATAAACTTGTTATTTATTACTTATATATACATTTGAGACAGACGCTTGAATATTTTCGAATATAAATTATTGCACTAACCGTCCGTCATAGATTTTGAAAAATGACGCAAGGTGTAAATCGGCTTGAATGGCGGTTATGCTTCGAATTCAGCAGGCTAAGGATTTTATTTCTAAGGGAATATCTTGTTAAGGGCTACCTGTGATCAGTAATAGTGAACAAACTGTTGTCTGGGAATATTTCTATTCGTGAAAATTGATAATTGATGCTGAAAAGACACCAGAAACACGTCCGAAGACCGATGATAAAAAGTTGGAGGAATTTCGGTCGCCAGAAAAAGGATGCATGATCCGATGGATGGAAACACTTGACAGTGCCAGTTAATTTGCAATCAAGTAGGCTATTTAAGATCAAAAACATTTAACCAACGATATCAATAACTAAAGGCATATTCATGATGTAAACAAAACACGGGGACACTAGCGAAAACTTACATTGAACTACGACAGCGCCGAGATGTTTGTCAGCTGTTCGTGGCGTGATTGCAATGCTTTGATATTTTCCAACAGATTTACACATTTATCGTGGGTAGAATTTGATGACAAAAATACAGTTTATCATGAAGATTTAACCAGAAGTCTACCAAAAAATAAGGATAAACGTTCGAGACTGTACAGCTGAAAAAAGTGACATAAAACTTGTAAACAAAAGCTAGTTTCTATCGGTATATTCTCCATGTATATACAGGTTAAATCGATAGCCATAAACTGTTTAAAATACTTGTTAACGTTGTAAATGAAATAATTATTATTTTACTTGCATATTTTGTTCATTTTTTTATACATGATGATGAAATGCAAGTAGAGCAAGTCATTTTATATTTATGCACTGGTAGATATTATTGCGCCGTGTGATTAGGTCACGTATTGACCTCTGACCTCAGACAAACTTCATACAGAATTGAAGATATTTGTTCTCTGTATGTTTATATAATAGAGAGATACCACAAATGTATATATAAAGCAATTATAGGATGAAATGTGACCAAATAATTGAAAAAAGAGCCTTGAAACATATACCAAGAACAAATTATGATATTTCATTTTGGTTGGCAATGGTTGCCAAGGTTTTTAAACCATAGAGAGCCTTCAAAGTAACATTCTGTATGTTTAAATCTGATCCTTTCTTTAAGAAAAGCACATTTCCTCATAACTAATGATCAATTTTTAAAGATGTTGGTGTGCTCCTAGTTTTCCCATTTGAAAAAATTCAGATTAGATTCTTAAAATAGAGCGTTGCTATGGAAATAAGCAGAAAATATATGCTTAAAAACCTGAAAAATATTTTCTTTCCTTGGATACGTACCCTTAAATGTAGATTCCCAAAACTTTTATGATTGATATTTATTAACAGCTAACCTGACTTTTAATTTTGATTATCATCCAATCTCTAAGTGGATGCAAGAAGTTGGCACACAGGGTTTAATATTGATATAAAGTTCACAAAATCGAACATTTTCCCTTCTTGGTAACCATAGCAACAGTGTTGTATTCTTCATCAAATTTTATCAATATATGATATTCAACTTCAGTTCTAACAGATAAGTACTATTCAATCTGAGTCCTTTAATTTGTTTCTTGATTATATGGCAGTTTAATTCTTAATGCTGCAAAAAATAATTCACTTTTAAGCACTGCTACTATGTTTCCATGGTAACACTGCAAAGTAGCAATTATACCCAATTTTTCTTATGGTTTTGGTGTTGCAAGGTCCTAAGGATGCATATTTGCCAGTCTTGAATTTTCATGTTTTTCCTCAAGACAGTAGCATTAACCCAATCTTAGTTACTGGTTTTGCATGGTTACACTGTGTTACCATGGCAACCATAAAAGTTATTTATAGAATAATATTGCTTATACTTATATACTTAAGGTCAAACATTTTCATTGTTTTTCTTAAGTCGTTGATTGAGTTTGAGCATGTAACACCTACCATTTGTGAATACGGAGTGTTTTTCAGCATATTTCAGCATTTTAAATTCTATTCTAAATGTACCCTTGGTTACCACTTACTTATATATTCTAAACAGATTCTTTACAGTATAAGCATGATAAGTGACATCAAGGTGTCATGTTTTTGTGAGAATGGTTTGTTTGCTTTTTCTAGTTTTTATTAAGCCACAGTCAAGATTTAAAGTGGCTGTAAATCTCGATTTTTCAAACTTTTCCGGCTGTTGCCATAGCAACCGAGACACTTAGCAACGAAATGTTGTTTGATATTTGTTTCTGGTGTCAAGTACTAAGCATGGGTGAAGTTTCATCAAAATCGGTGACCATGCGTGGCAACGAAGTTTAAGTGGTTACAGAGAATGGCTATTAACTACCGTGAACCATTTTTTGTGCTTTATATTTTGTGGAGACCTTTTTCAGTCATGAAAATTAATTGTTGCTGATTGATTACAAACTAACGAATCAACAGTAAAAGATGATACAAATAATAAAGCTTGCTAACAGTATATACTCTTGAAAGGTATTTTTAAAAGTATTCTTTCAATATACATTTTCAATACAGTATTCTAATCTTGATATTCACAGGAGAATGTGAGCCCTGTCCTCCTGGAACGGAAAAGAACAGAGACGATTCAAGCCTTTGTACTCAAATAGAAACAAGGGAAATAGCTACGACAAAGCAAGGGACTGAAATTTTATCTAAACACACTACAGCCAATATACAGACAAACTCTTCGTACACTTCAAGCACAATACCACACAGAACACTGCCTACATCAATCAGTGATGCAACTGTGATTGGGGTGACAGTAGGGGTAGTGTTTGTGTTCTTGGGCCTTATTGTCATTTTGATTGTTTATTTCTGCATAAAACGGAGAAAGAATGATAAGGAAAAGCTAGATGGTGAAAATTGTTGTCCCTTGGAGAACCCCAGGGATTCCACTTCTGAAGAATCAACTGCAAGCAGTGAGGTAGTCTTGCTCCTGAAGAAAGATAAAAACATAAAACACGAAGAAACCAATGGATATCCTGTAAAACCCATGATTGCAGTGAAACCAATGATAAGTGTAGATGAAACAAAGACAGATGAGGAGGAGGAATTCGATTATAGTCTGAATGTAGGAGGATTTGTTAATGCGACAAATGATGAGAACGTTGATAGTGCTGAAAGGGACAGAAATACAAGGCCAGAGACTGGATTGGACAGTCTTGGATATAACGCAACAGAGGTGAAGGCTGTGCATTCACATGATGAGACTGATTTAAAGGTACCTGTTCAGATTGGTTCAAATGGTGAGAATTTGCATAGAACTAATGTTAAAACAGTGTATTCAGAGGAAACTGAAGTAAAACAAATCGGAATCAGTCCTGCAAGAAGACAGGATAGTGATATCACAAATGTCAAACAATCTGTTTCGTCAGATGAAACTCCTATGAAGCAAATTGCTATTGGTCATTCTAGAAGAATGATAGATAATGATTCTACTGGAATCAAACCATTGGTGTCATCAGAGGAAACTCCACTGAAGGAAATTGGAAGAGATCACTTTAGTAGAACCACGAACAAGAATGGCTCTGATGATGAAACAGGTGTGTCTCCAGAGGCAACTAGTTTGAAGGAAAATGAAACACCCGTAAAGATTCCTGTAGCACCAGTGAGATATGTTCAGCCTGTAAGTTCAGTTTTCTCTCCAAAACATTTTCAAAGCAGAGATGGAAGTGTCCATAATGAAGTGAATGTGACACAGTTCTCAAAAGCAAATCAAAGACAGCAAGCAACTGTTTTATCAAACCAAAGCAATTCTGTTCAGCCAACAGTGTGCAAGTTTACAGATCACCCAGAGAGCACAGATACAATGTCTGGCATTGCTTCTGGAAAGAATGATCACAAAAACACCACAAACAATGATACTTTATCTCACCGCCGTCAACAGGCAGAGGAGATAAATCAAGAAAAAAGTTCCTCTCTTGAAAAGCAATCCTCCCAGGCAAGAAGTGAAGAAAGTAATACTGTTGCCGATTCTGACTTGCATACAGAGAAAAGTGAAGGGCATTCCCATACAAAAACTGCCTCAGGAGGATCAGTATCGGAGGAATGTTTAGGCAGTGCTGATTATGATGAAGGAGAGAGTGTGGAGCTAGCATCGTCAGAAATCAACGAAATCTCCTCAAACCATCAACCCAAGGTTATGTCAAGTAGTGGTCAATCAGGTGTTCACCCTCTGAATCAATATGTCCCACACCAGTCCCATCAATCCAATCTGAATCAACATGTGCAATCTAATGGGCCTCAACCAGATCAATCTAGCCAACACCAGCTGTATCAACCCAGCCAACCTCAACCAGATCAACCTAGCCATGAACAAGGAGTTCAGTCAAGTGAGTATCATAGTGACATATCTATTTGGAAATCACACACTGCTAGATCTGACTTATATTTCTTGGATGGGTGACCAAGTTCATATAAAAGGATTAAGTCTCAAGTAATTGCTGATGACACTATATTCCTGACCTTCACTTGCATAGATTATGCATCAAACTTCAGAAAATGGATTTGACCTACACTTTCCAAATGACTTAAGAGGTTCAAGTTTTAGGGGTAAGACTATTCCTAGGTAATTGTATACCCTATCATGACCAAATATGCCTGTTACCAGATATGCTTAGGATGCTGGATCCTATCTACATTTTCTAGATGAGTAACCAGATTTAAATATTTGGGGAAAGTCCAGTTTTAAGGATGTAGTGAGTAGTTACAAGATCTATATTGACCAACTACCAGGCCTTATTCAGTTTCTGCATCTGACCTGCAGTTTCTGGTTGATTGAAATTTGGAGCAGTCCATTTCCAAATTAGTTTAATGCTGTTTGAGAAAAAAAATTTAACTAAAGGTGGAATCTGTAGACCTGAGCTAATTTTAAAGTATAATATATGTACATGTACTTTATATTTTTTGGAAGGTACTTGTATTTTGATTTCAAGAGTGTCTGATTTCATCTCACATATACACACACAAACTCACTTTTAACACATGCATACCGATATACTGAGCAATGAAAGATATTATCTTTATAGGACTGAATGAGATAAATAATGGTGTAGGAGTGAAATCTGAGTCTTCCTCAGTACCCATTCCCAGTGGAACATCACGGCAGACTTCCGGTGCCTCGTACGTCCAGATGTCAGTCCAGAACTCTGCTGCCACTTCCGGTTATGGCACTGCAAGTAAGATGATCATTGATACTGTTTCAACTCACATTTGTAGAAAGAATATTCATTGTGTCACACCATACAGGTGACATAGAGTACCATCAATAAATTTTCAAACAAGTCTAAGTATATTTAAATAGAGTCTTTGTAAAAGTATCCAATATGCTATTGTGATAATAATTCTCATAGACAGGATCCCGTTCTATTCAATTGCAAGCTATAATTAATATTAAACTTACTTTAAAAAAATAGAGATCGGAACTTACTCAGAGACAGCAAACAACAGTGGACATGAAAGGTCTGTAGATAATACATCATCTGAACCACTGGTAGTCAACTCTGTACTGCGATCAGATTCCCGTAATGGTAAGCTTATTATTAAATGAGACAAGTTTGTGACACTATTTTGTGCATTGGTTGAGGTGTGAGTTTACTTCATGTTTATAATTTATTGCAGCAGGTGATCCTCTTGAGGAAGATAAAAACAAATCCAATGATTCTCTGGGTGAGAGAGGACTTAATAATGCTCCCTCTATGAATACTGAATCCAGTGATCAGATCAAACCGATGGGTAAGAGATGTAACCATCTTGTATTTTATATCAGTTATATTGAAATGGACTTTCAGCTTGACCTTTAAGTGTCACTTTTATTTTGATAAGATACACATTTTTAACCATTTTAAAATTCCGGAACATTAATTACTGTAGATACTTAATTTTCGCGACACCTTATTTTCGCGAGACAGTCATTGACTCTTTATCAGCGAGACAAAATTTTCACGAATTGTGGTCATTGCTTTATATAATCTTAAGGAATTCTATTATACGCGAGAATGAAATTTTCGCGAGCATACCGCCCCGCATAATTACGCGATAATAAAGTTCTCGCGAATAAAAAGTGATTTACAGTATTGGATTTTAATACTCCAAGACAAATTGTTTCCCTATTTCTCAAAGAATGATTTGTTGTTTTCTAATAGAAAACAATTTGTTGTTTTTTAATAGAAAACAAACAAAAAATAAACCTATTTTACACTTTTCTCACACAAGTTATGTTTTAACATTAACAGAAGTGATACCTGTGCCAGTGCTCATTAAAAGGGAACCAGGAGTTGCAGGAGGGTCACTAGAGGGGGAGATAGCTAGTTCCAGACAGCAGTTACTTAACCAGGCTTTTGTTGCTCAAGTAAGAACCCCCTGTTGTTACCTTAGAAGTGAATGATTGACACACATTGGTTTGGCTTTCAGAAAGTCATTTTAGTTTAGCCATTAGTAGTTTGAAATAATGAATGAAAATGTGTTAAATTATAAAAGTTTGACTCATGGAACCATGTTAAATTTATAAAAAATTTTCATAGAGACAGTTTCCCTTGTAGGGTGGACGGCGTGCAGAGTCTGGGTATTGTTCCTGATCTACTAATACATGTATTATCATCACTGGATGCTGAAAGATGCAGAAAGAAGTACAGCTTAATCAGATAGGTCCTTCATGTCTGGAGACTGGATAATCATGAGTTTAAATACTTTAATGTGTATTACTTACTGCTGCCTGTGGTGTTTTACATACCAAAGTTAGAAAACTAGTACAACTCATGTATGGGTACTGGGAGATAAATAACCGTAAAAATAATACAGACTCTAGTCACCAAAGATGTATACATTATAAAGCTGTTTAATATTATACTATGCATAACTTCCTTGCCATTTGTTTTTAAGCAGCGTTCACTTATGTTTTAAAAATGTGTTTAGGGTTGAAATGTGCCATAGATATTTTTGATATACAGATACATCCCATAAAATACCCTGGTATTGTTCAGAGCAAAATCACCTGGAATAGTTGTAAATTGTTGAGAAGGAAATAAAAGTGCCTAGATATATTGTTTTTTCAAGAATAAGGTTTATAACTGTGTGACATAAGTAGATATATGATCTCTGTATGTTAGAAAGAGACTCGGTGCTCCTGTAGATAAGATTATCTACACTTATCACTTAATTGTGAAACTAACAAGAATGCCCGGTGATGTTCTGTTATAGTGATTTTTAAATAGTATGCAGCAAAAAGAGACACAAAAGATAAATTCTATGTAGCCATCTTGTCCATTGAATGGAATTCCTTACAAATATGTAAAACATACTGTATACAGAGCTATTTTACCTCTGTTGATTTGTTATTTACACATGTACATGTTTAATATGTATGTTTTATACATGTATATTATTTAGTATCTTGTATCCTACCTTCTAAAATATAAAATTGTTTGCTTTATATAGAGAAATAGAGAATCAATGTCTGTATATAAACAAAAATAAATTTATGGTGTAAATGTATGTTTATAGATCCTGGAGTGGACTTTATCTATATAGGCCTAATGAATTCAGTTTTACAACATCTGCTAGATTGTTATGTATAATATGTCACTCTTTGTATAGTTTGATGTATGCTTTATCTGTATAAATCGGAGTAGCTAAACACTATAAACCAAACTTTATTCGCATGAGAGAAAAACATGTAAGTTTCATGTCCAACTATTTTGAATATTTTTTGCTGTGTTTATGTAGAATTTGTGTAGTTGCTTACAGATTCAGGCTGAAAGTTGTTGGAGATTCTCAAATGTATTTTATTTCTTTTTAAACAATTATTCAAGTGCTTCATTTGTTAAATGTTTTTAAAAAAGAATTTTATAGATTAATATCTGAACTACAGAATTAACATCATTCTTTCATACACCTGTACATGTTTGTGTTTTTGCACTTAGTTTTTATCTTAGCATCATTTTAAAAGTAAGTAGTAATCCTAGAGAATGTGTGCCATTTTCAGAAGATGAATCTCTTTGCATAGGTAGAGTGTCTCCCTTTTTTTGCTCACCTGAACTGAAGATGGATGAGTGTTCAACCTTTCAATATAAAACATATCTGCTTTTTCCTAGCCAATGTGCTCAGGTGAGCAATGAGGCCCATGGGCTTCTCGTTTAAAGGAATTTTAAGTTTTTTACTTAGTTTTCTGATCTGTTTTCTAGATCTTTAAAATTTGTACATATGGATTACACAAGATATATTTGTAAGGAAAACTTGCATGCTAGTATGACAAGGAATAAATAAGGTTGTCATTGAATCATCTTTCATATTAAGAATGATTCATGCATGTGCAGTTATCTTGAGAATTTTTATGCCCCCCTTCGAAGAAGGGAGGGCATATTGCTTTGCTGCTGTCTGTTGGTCCGTCTGTCGGTCTGTCGGTCCACTTAGTTTCCGTTCATTTTCTTTGCAACCGTTGCAGATACTGAAATGAAATTTGGTATACAGATATATCACATGAATATCTAGGTCAAGTTCTGTTATGGGTACGATCGCACCATTTTTGACAGAGTTATGCCCCTTGGACTTAGAAAAATTCCAATTATTTGCAGTTTCTGTTCATTTTCTTTGCAACCGTTGTAGATACTGAAATGAAATTTGGTATACAGATATATCACATGAATATCTAGGTCAAGTTCTGTAAAGGGTACGATAGCACCATTTTTGACAGAGTTATGCCCCTTGGACTTAGACAAATTCCAATTATTTGCAGTTTCCGTTGATTTTCTTTGCAACCGTTGTAGATACTGAAATGAAATTTGGTATACAGATATATATCACATGAATATCTAGGTAAAGTTATGTTTTGGGTACAATTGCACCATTTTTGACAGAGTTATGCCCCTTGAACTTAGAAAAATTTCAATTATTTGCAGTTTCCATTCATTTCCTTTGCAATAGTTGTACATACTGAAATGAAATTTAGCATACAGATTTACCAGAGGAATATCTAGGTCAAGTTATATTTTGGGTATCATCGCACCATTTTTGACAGAGTTATGCCCTTTGGACTTGGAAAAATTCCAATTATTTGAAGTTTCGGTTCATTTTTTTTCACAACTGTTGAAAATACTGAGATGAAATTTAGAATACAGATTTATCAGATGAATATCTACATTATTTTCTGTTTTGGGTACCATTGTACCATTTTTGACTGAGTTATGCCCCTTGGACTTAGGAAAAAAATTCCAATTATTTGCAGTTTCCTTTCATTTTCTTTGCAGAGGTTGCACATACTAAAATGAAATTTGGTATACAGATTTATCAGATGACTATCTTCGTCAAGTTCTGTTTTGGGTACATGTACAATCACACCATTTTTGACAGAGCTATTCCCTTTTGGACTTGGAAAAATTTCAATTTGGGGGGAGGGGCCCAGGGGGGCATAAGTGTTTTACAAACATCTCTTGTTTATAAAAACTTGCTGTTTACAGTTATTATTTGTAATAAAAAAGGTTAATTTCCAAGTTCATAACTGTGAGTCTTTGAAATGTCAGTGAAACTGAATTTCTTGTGGTTGTTAAATCAGATGCTTATTAATTGATTTAAAGTTATAGAAATTTTAGTTTCTTATTGGTTTGTAGCGAATGTTTTATGTAAAATTTATTCCAGATAATTGTAATTTGAGAACACAAATGATTTGCTTTAATTCTTTGTTCACCAATAGCTAATTTGTATGTGAGTTTTCACTGAACTCTTCTAAGGCCATAAAAAATTAATTTCTTGGTTCTCAGGCCTTCCCTCATCTCTTCCAAGGGTGCCTCATTGACCCTTTTTATTGCTAAATCAATAAAATACAACAACAAAAAAATCACCTCCCTCATCATTTTTTGAGGTTTTGTACAATGTAAAAAGCTGCCTCATCATGTTTTTGGGGCAATAAAAAAAGTTTTTAAAAAATGCCTCCCTCCCTCGTCATATTTTAAAAAAAAAAAAAAAAAAAGGCCTGAGAACCAAGGAATTAACTTTGCATGGCCTAAACCAGGAAGGGTAATTGAGCTGTGATATGTACTCTTCCACTTTAAACTGTGTTACTGACTTTCATAGTTTCCACCCTTTTCATACCGATTTACATGCATAATGTAAAGAACATACATTTTCACCTTGAAAAGTCGATACCGGTATTGTTTTTTTTTTCTTTTTGACCATTCTGCAGGTTGTAAGTGCTTAGATTTTGATGAGAAAAGATTTGTTAGTGGAGATTCAAGGTTATTTTCAAGCTGTGATAAATTCAGATTTTTTTTTTGTTTTTTTTTTAATAAGGCATTGTTTTTATTGTACAGATATTTAAAATGTAATGAAAGGAAGTGAAATTCTAAGATGAAAAAGAAATTTGTTGAGATGATAACATTTCATTCAAAAAATTTACCTTAAATATGTTATTTTTTAATTCCTACCATACAATGTATTTGTTGCAGTTTGAGAGCTAATTGAATTGGTTCACTGGATTGTTTGCAGATGTTTAATTGACTTCTCAAAAATTTTGAGAATATGTTATCATCATAATCATGAATAAATGGCATTCCTTTTTCAATAGAATAAATGATTTCACATTTCAATGATATTTGTTAAATTTTGTTTTGCCATAAGTCAGTCTAATGGCTTAATTAAGGGCTTAGCCCCCCTTTTTGCAGATAGACACATTATAGGCATTGAACAGGGGGGCAAAGATTTAGCCCCTCTCCCCCCCCCATACACACATACACTTTCAACAGGCAGAGGTTTCAGTTTAGTCAAAGAAGGGTAAGTGGTAGGGTATGAGAAAAAAACTGGTATTGAAAGATGTTTTTCCTTAATGGTTACTGTGACCTACTTTTGGAATTTTGCAACAATGTTTTAATGTTTTTAACTTTTTAGATACTCATTGGCAAAGAATCATCAAACTGTCAGTTGATGTTATCTTGTGTCTTAACTGAAAAATAGGTCACTATGACCTTGTTTTGAATTTTAAAAATATCTGAAGTAGTAATTGGCTTTGAATCATCAAACTTTGTCAGTTGATTTATTATGAATCCTCAGAATAAGTCAACCAGAAAGTAGGTCATAGTGATCTACTTTTAGAATGTCAAGACCATATCTTAATATTTTGAGATATAAGAAATTTGAAATCATCAAACTTTTGTCATTTGATGCCATTTGGGGTCTTGAGTGTCTTTTCCTTAAAGTAGGTCACTGTCACCTACTTTTGGAATCTCAAGGCTATACCTGCCTATTTAAGATAGTAAGGGGCTTAGAATCATACTTTGCTAGTTGTTAGTTGCATCTTGGGTTCTCAGAGTGTTTTACCCAAACTGTATTACCTTTTTTGGGAATGGCTTTCAATAGAAGTGAGAGGTAGAAGAGTGATTCAAGGTCCTTGGGCCTCTTGTTGAATTTTGCAAGCTTTTTTTTTCAAGTTGATATTGATGTACGACATTTTGAAACCTTCATGCATTTGATCATTTAAAGAATGGAGGTGTACAAGACCAGTCCAATACCCCACTTTGAAAAAAGTCATTTCTCAATTCTAAAAGTTCATAAACAGTTGCACTTTTCAAAAAATTGTCAACATCATCTTTTACACATTTGATTCCTTTTTTGAATGAATTATTGATGGATAATTTATTGTCACTCATATTCAAGATATTGTGAAAAAAATAATTTTAAATAAGGGTTAACACGATTCAAACTCTCTCCAAAGACTACTGAATGTGTTCACCACACCGTCATGAAGTCTTCATGCTCCAGAAGTGTAGCAGTGTGATTTAAATATACAAATTTGCTGAGGAATACTTTTTCAAAACTTGAAAAAAGACTTAACTTTTCCATCATTTAAGAAATGAAGAATGGAGACTTGACCCATTCATGTTCAAAATTCATTTTTCATGGCTCTTATATACCTATTTTCCACTAAATATTCTTATCAATAACCATTAACTTTAAAAACAGATTATCAATTGAATTAATATGTTGTTCAGTAAAATAAACAATGTTATTAATGTGATGAAGATAACAATATGTACTTTAAACATAATTTTAGTACCAGCTAGGTAATCATGCATCTTTTCTGTGAACTTTAAAAATTGAGAAATATATTGTCTCAGAGCATGGAGTTGCCCTAGCCTTGTATGCCCTCTTAATTTCTTTTTCAGTTTAGGCATCATTGTACCTATAAAGTGTGGCAATCATAAAATAGGCCACAGTGACCAGCTTTCTGAATCATCAGAGGTTTCATCAAACCTTGTCAGTTGATGCATCTTAGAACAAGTTACAGTGAAACATAATTATAGTGAACACACAACAAATTAATGCTTACAGCAAAGTAATTTTCATTACCTTGGATAAAATAGTGTTATTATAGCTTGAGGGATATAATTAATATGCTTCTAATGAAGCAAAATTGGCAGTTTGATAATAGCATGTCAATACAAAGACCTTGTCAGGAAATACAATTTATCATTGAATCAAATGCTGACTGATCTTTTTCATACTAATTGTTAGTCCATTATTTATACACTAAATTGACGATGGATTTTTCTGTTTTTTCACGATCATGACAAGGAGCACAGGTGTGACCGGTTGGCAGGGGATGCTCACTCCTTCATGACTCCTTCATGGCACCTGATCTCGCTGCCAATGTTTTGGAGGTCCCATGTTTGCTCTGCTCCTATTTTGTATTGTTTTAATATAGACTTTTGATCTTGAATACTGTTCGTTATCTCCATCTGTTTCATTTTACTGTATATTTGACTCAGAAAGCCTAAGTGATTCCCCTTTTCTAGGTAACCTGAGTATACTCAGGTGACCTATTGCTATCCGTCTTCGTCTGTTGTCGTGCGGTGTGCGTCGTGTGTTAACATTTGAACATTTTTAGCTTCTTCTCTGCAACCGCTCAACCAATTTCAAGCAATTTTGGCATAAAGCATCTCTGGGTGAAGGGGAACATAAATTGTTAAATTCATGGTCCCTGCCCCCCTGGGGCCTGAGGGGTGGGGCCAAAACCACTAAAATTAGTGCCATCTTTAAAAATCTTCTTCTTTACTCCTGGATACCAAGCAGTCAAACTGTTGGCATAATTGTAATGAGCATTGAGTCCTCTACCAAAATTGTGAAATTCATGGCCCCAGGGTCAGGGGTTCTAGTGCTAGGGAGGGGCTATATAGTTTATATAGTGAAAATGCATTAATTCTTTGAAAATCTTCTTCTCTGCTCCTGGGTATTAAATGAACTAAGTACATAGTTATGATGTACAAGAGCACTTCTTTCAAAATTGTGAATTTTAGGGCCCCAGGGTCAGGGGTTCTGGTGTTAGGGCGGGGCTTTATTGATTATATGGTGAAAATGCATTAATTCTTTGAAAATTTTCTTCTCTGCTTCTGGGTATTAAATAAACTAAGTAAGTACATAGTTATGATGAGCAAGAGTGTCTCTACCAAAATTGTGAATTTCATGGCCCCAGGGTCAGGGGTTCTGGTGTTAGGGCGGGGCTCTATTGATTATATGGTGAAAATGCATTAATTCTTTGAAAATCTTTTTCTCTGCTTCTGGGTATCAAATAAACTTACTAAGTACATAGTTATGATGAGCAAGAGTGCCTCTTCCAAAATTGTGAATTTTATGGCCCCAGGGTCAGGGATTCTGGTGTTAGGGGGGGGCTCTATTGATTATATGGTGAAAATGCATTAATTCTTTGAAAATCTTCTTCTATGCTTCTGGGTATTAAACAAACTAACTAAGTACATAGTTATAATGAGCAAGAGTGCCTCTACCAAAATTGTGAAATTCATGGCCCCAGGGTCAGGGGTTCTGGTGTTAGGGCGGGGCTCTATTGATTATATAGTGAAAATGCATTAATTCTTTGAAAATCTTCTTCTCTGCTTCTGGGTATGAAATTAACTAAGTACATAGTTATGACGAGCAAGAGTGCCTCTGCCAAAATTGTGAATTTTATTGCCCCACGAGTTAGGAGTTCTGGTGTTAGAGCGGGGCTATATTGATTTATTATATAGTGAAAATACATTAAATCTTTGTAACCAAATTAAGCAATTGCTAAATGTATAGTTATGATGAGCAATGGTACCTCTTTCAAAATTGTGAATGCCATAGCATGAAGCTCAGGTGACCTATAAGGCCCATGGGCCTCATTTAATTTTGCAGGTTTCCATTGTCTGTTTCTTTAAATGCACATTTTGGATGCAGTGAAGGCTATAGGATCATCCAACCTGTTTAGTTCATGCTTATATCTTGGAGTATTACATGTTTAAGCAAAATGTTGGTCACTGCAACCTTTTTGTATCTCATGGTTAAAACCTGTCTTATCTGAAATGCTCTGGGAAACATTTTTGTGTCAGAATACACAGGGTGTCAGATTGCATGGTGTACAATAAAATGAAAATTAGTAGAATGGGAAAGAAATTTTACGTCAGAATTGATAATTGATTGCACAGGTGTCGGATAAGACATATTTTACTGTATTTAAACATTTACATGTACTAGTATTGACTGGCCTAGAATATATATATATATATATATATATCTTTCAGCTACTACGTGGCTTAGAATTGTCAAAATTTGACAGTTGTTTGTCACATCACGATCATTTCTATCTATCATAGTATCCAGAGGTGCACTTAATAGAGTGTTCCCTTAATCATGTTAATATTCTGTTCAGCAGTTTCAGAGAAGTTTTGGTATTAAGAATAGGACTGAAAGGCAGGACATATTATACACTCTATAACTTTGCATGGTTTATAAAAAAATCTATTAAAAAGAAATTGGGAAGCATTCTATACAATCTAATTAAAATTAGATGTTAAAAACTGCTGGCACATCACTCCACTAATATTGTAGCAAGTGTGCGAGCGGATCTAACATCTAATTTTAATTAGATTGCATTCTATACAAAGTACATTCAAATATGAGAAAATCAATGCATCTAACACAAACAATGTGCCTTCGCATGCGTCATGGCTGAAATCCTTGTGAACAGTCATAATTAATGACTCAGTCATCCTTTTTAAATCATTTTCTGCTTTAGCTGCATTTTTATTATAAAATTCTTTTGAGAAGAAAAAAATATCTTTATTTTTTATTGAAACAAAGCAAGAAAAATCAGTACAAATGCAAGCCCTACCGAAGCACCTTCAACCATTTCCATTTTGTATCACATTTACTTTCCTATGATTTTTTTTCCATCTTGAAGAATGACATAGCCAATGTGTTGTAATATTTAATCACAAAATAAACAAGGATGTTGTAAGATTAATTAAATGTCTATTGGGTTAGTGCTCTCTCAGCCAGAATCTTTTTGATCCTCTCCTGATCTGCTGTGAAATCCCGAGCTTTCTGTTTTAATAGAGCATCATTAACCTTTTTCGCTCTTTCATTTGCTCGATCGACAACTTTTCCAAATCTGTTTTTGGCGAAATACAAAATGCTTCCCCATCCCAATAAGAAGAATAAACCAACCTGTAAAAGAAAAAAAAATCACAATTCAGTCTCTGAACAAATTTTGTTCAGGTAAATAATATACTTTATATACTTGACCTTTCCGCCTTTCATCCAAGGATCGAGTCAATAGGAGTTTATAAACTTCAAGCTGCAGAACTGTAGCTATATATATTGAAACTCACTGGACTTTGCTGTAAACTCATTGAATGCAAACACTGTTTATTTCAAACACATGTTATTAAACAGCATAGCAAGGATAACCACATATACTTGCTCTAGTTGCTTATTATAAGTTGGATATTTGCGAGTGAAATTTCGGTCAAGAACTCTACACCTGCCCCACAACCAAGTCCTTGTAAATTTGATATTTAGTATCAAATCTAGTGCTTACAGATTTCAAGAGAATATTAATCTTGAATTGGCAACAGATTCTGGCTAAAACCATACAGTCCATAAAGCAGCTGAATGGCAAATTCTTTCCAAAAAAACTGTTAAAATGCATGCACAATTGAATGTATAAGCATGACAAAGGAACGAACTTGTATGCGAGTATAAACAGTAGATGCTAATCCAAGAAAAGTAATTGACATTTCGATAAGTCAAAAATGTCTCTTTTACAAAGCACATGAAATCAGCTATTTAGGCCTATCCCAGTTATAAACTAAGAAAAACTGTTGAAGAACCTTTGAATACTCACATGAAATAGTCCCCTCATTGAGTACTGATTAAAATGGTAGTGAAATCTGCCATATTTAGAAAAGGCTTGATCAGGCATGATACCATCTACTACTTCCTCAGACACCCGCTGCATAGGAAGGCCTTTGTCTGTCAATAAAAAGTTCTCATTAGAGTGGGCATGTAACAAATCTCTAAAACATGTACTAGAAGTATTTGTATTCCATCATTAAATGAAATACTACTAAAAGTATGATCACCTTGAGCTTGTTTTTCTATTTTATAATTAATCTACTTAAAGAACAGCATCTTATTACATGTGTATTTACCTTTGACAAATACAATGTAGAAATATTCCTTGGAGAAACAAATTCTTTTTAATATATCCCATCATTTGGTGTTTTTTGTGTTTTTGTTTATGTGCATGTTATGTCTGTTGATATTGTTATCTGTTCTATCAATTCATAAAAGTTAAAATGAATGCTTCTTAACTGAAAGCTACCAGCCATAGCAAAGACATCTTTTATTAGGAATACACGTCACTTACCCAGAAATTGGTCCTCTTTGTAGTCTTTAGGGAGAAAATCATACCTCTTTGGTGGGGGTGGAGGCTACGTAAAAGAAAATAATAAAAGTTTAATGAAACAAAATACCTAATGCATGTACCTTTAAAAACATTTTTTTTGTATTTCTTTTGTTAATTTAAACAGCACTCAATATTCTTTTTATGCATGAGTATCTCACTATCTAGGTAAAAGCTGGCCCTTGATATTGCAATATCACATTTTATTATTTCATACCCATAAGAACTTTTATGTCAGTAATCCTGTTAGCAATGTTTTAACAACAGAAAGTGACAGTTTAAAATTTAATTGACTTTGGATTGGAATGCCATACTTTGGCACTCATGGTAACTCTCCATTATATCTGTGAAAGTTTTATAATTTTGCGGATGTTTAGATGCAATGACAAAGTTACAAGGCTGAAAAATTACAAAGACCAGAACAAGGGAAAATTCTAGGGGGGTTTCCCCGCACAATTGATTTTTTTTTTTTTTTACAAGTGTCATTTTATCATTTTGTTGCATTGATAAGACTCTAATAAACATAAACCCTTTGTTTGTACAACTGTGAAATATACATCCACTACATAACAGAAAATCACTTTCCGCTTGAACACACACGATACACAGGTAATCAACAGAGAGAGTGTCTCAGAGATCGGGTAGTCCGTGCATCTAGTGAACTCACAAGATCACAGTACAATGTAGTTAGGTACCAACAACAGAAAACTGCATAGTTACGGTGCTGCTCAGTAATATTCTTTTGCTGATAAAATGCATGATTTTTAAACTATGAATAAACTATTATTCACACGTTTTAAAATTAAATTAATATAATTTTTTTACAAAACCAGGTTGGCTTAGCAAACCCCTCCAGTTTTCAGATTTCCAGTTTATGTAAATTTTTTTCTTCAGTTAAGACAGTTTGAAATTTCATTAATTGTACACGTGTGTTTATATTCCAAATCATATTGACAGTATATACTCAAGTAAGTTGAAAAGCACTAGTCAGGGATTCTGAAAATAATTCAATTTTTAATTTTTTTTAGTGTTTAAAAATTTTGCACATTAGTTTGCACAGAAGTCAGCTTGACATAGGACTAAATTAATTGTAGGTGCATTTAAAGTAAACTAAGACAACTTGAAGTCAACTGCTTGCATTCCTAAAATTGTAAGATTTAACATTTTTTTTAAGCAAAGTCTAAAGTCTTGTGTTAAAGTTAAATTAAATTGAAAACATTTTATTAAAAAAATTGTGATGATCGGTCTTTAAAAAAGCTACAAAAAGAACCCCAAAAATGCTGGAAAATGCACCATTTAGAACCATTTAAAACAAAATTTTCTCGGGGGACAACCCCCTCCCATGCCCTCCCTCTTCGGCCCTTTGGGCCTCAAACCCCCCCCCCCCCCCAATGAACTTCTGGATCCGCCACTGCAGAATGAAAATTCTTAGGTTTCTCCCCACAAAGAAGATTCGTCTAATAACAGAGATTTGCAACTCCGCCATGTAATTAAGAAAAGATCCTTTAAAAAACAAAACAATATATCTAATTTCGGAGTTTTAGTAGAACTTTCTAATCCTTTTGCTTTTAATTTATCCAAACCATCAATGCAGTTCGAATTGCCTCTTTTATTTGGTGTTGAGAGAAGATATGGTAAGACAAGTGCAAGGCTCTGAGCATATATATTCTAGGCAAGCTCAAATGATGAATTAACGTTTTAACCCAATTACACACTATAAATCTGTCACGACTGTAAATTTTTCCTAAACAAAAAAAGGATCTGACATAGGCCTCCAATCCATTTCACTTTGCCTAGCATTACAGAAACTAAAGGGATAAAAAATTTCTTACTGCTCGAATGAGTGACACAATATATGGATAATTGTTTAGACTGAAAAGTCTGCCAATTCTGGCAGAAATGTTCTGCTGAAACAAATATCTCTGTGGGTGCACCATGGTTTTGCTTCAAGGTGAGGAATATGGCGACCACAGGAGCATTCGGAACTGTTGTTGCCCGATGTATTCCGAAAGGAAAGATGTATCAAAATACCGAAAAGTAGTCGGAAATAAATAACTAAAAATGAACACATTTAAAAAAAAAATGATACAAACCATCAAATAGGTCGCAAAAATATATTTAGCATCAGCATTCTGCATTTCTAACCCCCCCCCAAAAAAAAAGTCCACCAGAAGAGGAGGTCCACGGGCCTTATAGGTCACCTGGGTATCTTGCAACAATTTTCCAAAATTTGGTTTTTAGACCAGAGAAGCTCGTTGCATGGGGGGGGGGGGGTGCTGATCCATCACTTTTTTCGAGATATGTCTTAGGAAATGTTCATTGAAAGTCCAGTTGTCTCCCTTTTCTTGGTTGCAGTATTGTCAAATAAGGGTAATGACGGTAATTAATATACAGAGTTTGAGTTTTTAAAAGAAAGGTTTTAAGAGTTGGAACCCCCCCCCCCCCCCCCCCCCAACGAAATGAGATTTTCGAGTTTGGACATTTTCCTTTTTTTATTCTTTTTTTCATGCAGGTTAATTTTTTTTTTTTCGCCCCCCCCCCCCCTCTTTTTTTCAAAAACGATAAGCACTACGTCACTGCCAGTGCCAGAAGCCATGATATTCACAATGTTGAAAGAGGCACCATTGCTCCTCATAGCTTTATACTTAGCACGTAAATTTGATTGTTTAATACACACAGGCAAAGCTGAGGAACAAAGAAAAAGTACATTTCCATCATATATCAGTGTCGCACCCACAAGAACCTTGACCCAAGGGTCTCTCTCAAATTTAACAATTTTAGAAAAGATACCCTCCCATGCTCATCATAAATCTTAACTTAATACCAAAGATACCAAAGAGCAGATTTCAAAGCATAAATTCAATTGTGGTATATAATCATTAGACCCCCCCCCCCCCCCAACACAGTACCCCTGACCCAAGGGCCATCAAATTCACAGTTCTGGAAGAGGAACTTTTCCTCATCATTACTATATATATACTCAGTTCGTCGGCTTCTTGCCTAGGAACATAGGAAAGGATTTTTAAAGAATTGCATGAACCCAGATTTGACGTCATGTAGGGGACATAATTCAAAAAGATAGCTTTTTTCAAAGTGAACTCATTTTGCCGTGTTCCTTTCAATGACCATCAAATTGTGTGAATAAAATTGGACAATATCTGCCATGTTTATAGTGCATTTGTTGTTATTCAATATTCATTACATTATAATTTATATAACCATGAAATGGTATCATTTATTATAGGACACCCTGTATAATTGCATTTTCAAAATATTTTCATTTCATCATGAGCCCCGCAAAAGCGACAGAACCACAGGGGCCATGAATTCCACGCATTCGGTTGATAGTAATGTGCTTAAAATACAATCATGCAAACAGATTGACTGCTTGATGTCCAAGAGAAAAGATTTTTAAAGATAGCCAAGTAAGTGATGGATATATGCCGAATACTGTTCTATATGTAAAATTATCAGACTGTTTGAGGCCCGTTAGGGCCGAAAACTGTCTGATAATTTTACATATAGAATAGTATGAGGCATATATCTTACTTAAAACATTGCCATTTAAATGTCCAAAAGTTACCTGGAGGAGTCCGATAATAACACAATGGGAGTTCAAGCATCCATTGTTTTCTACCCGTCTGATAAGTAGATAAAAGAAATGAGTGAACGGTAAAAAAAGTGAGTGAACTCTTGTTTCATTAATTTCATTCATTCAATGGCAGTCGTTTCGTTTAGCAGGACAGGGGTACGGTGGTGAAAGATTTTTTGGGGGAACATTTTTATTTATGATGTGCATAAAATGAAATTGATACTAACATAATTTTGGGTAATATTTTAACCATCACCATGGCAAGTAAAATGCGGATTTTTACCCTAGCTGAATTTTTAGCTAAGATAATGGAAATTCTCAGGTTTTGAAAGTGTGGCCATCGGGGAACAAACATAAAAGGAGATTGCAGAATTTTTTTTTCAGAAATGGATTTAAATTCGCTTATTCAAAAACTCTTTTAAAGAGTGAAAATTAATGTCGTGGAAGGTTTAAACTTGGAATTTTTCTCATGGATTTGCTATTTTGTACTGTGATCAACTTAATTTCCTTGCTTTTGGTTTCCCTAACTTTTTTTCCAAACATTTTTATTGGGGGTTTCTGGACATATTTAATCTTAATTTCACTCTTCTTTTTGCTTTTTAAATACCGTCCGATTTTGTTATCATTGCCGTCCGATAATATATTATCAGACTGGTAATTATTATTATCGGACGGCTACAGGTAAATTTTTAGACTGCAAGAACAAAGGCTTGACGTCACAGCAATGTTTTAATTTTGATCACCCCACCCATCAGACCCTAGAGGGGCAGGGGCTATGAATTTCACAATTTTACTCCCTTCATCCATAGATGCATACGCTATGTACCAAAATTATTTGAAATTGGTGCAATAGATCCAGAGAAGATGCTAATAATTTTTAAAAGTTTACGAGCGATTGACGACGAAAAACAAATAGCAATACATGTATGTCACCTGAGTGACTTAAACAAGAGGCCCATGGGCCTTATAGGTCACCTGAGCATTATGCAACAACTTTCCAGTTATTGAATTTATAAGCCAGATGCTATGGCATTCACAATTTTGAAAGACGCACCATTGATAATCATAACAATAAACTTAGCAGTTGCTTAGCTCGGTTACTTAATACCCATAAGCAGTAGGGGAACAAAAAATGCAAACTTATCAAAAATATTCAGCAATTAGTGCCCTTACCACATTTTCCACACACTGGACAAATTTTGCAGATTTCAAACAATTCATTCATTTTTTTAAATACAGCCCCCCCCTCTATGGTATAAAGCCTTGAAATTCACAGTTTGATTGTTTCATCATAACTTATTAAGGTAATTACTGCTTCGTACCCAGAGAAAAATTTTTTCAAAGATTTAATGTAATTTTTCATTATAGAGCCCCGCCCTAAGACCAGAACCCCTGGTTGCCATAAAATTCACAATTTTGGTAGAGGCATTCTTGCTTATCATAACTATGTACTTAGTTAGTTTATTTAATACCCAGGAGCAGAGAAAAAAGATTTTCAAATAATTCATGTATTTTCACTATATAATCAATAGAGCCCTAAATAAAATTCACATTTTTGGTAGAGGCATTCTTTCATCATATTTATGCACTAATTTAGTTTATTTACCCAGGAGCAGAGAAGATGATTTTGAGAGAATTCCTGTTTTTTCACTATATAATCTATAGAGCCCCGCCCTAACACTAGAACCCCTGACCCTGGGGCCATAAAATTCACAATTTTGGTAGAGGCATTCTTGCTCATCATATTTATGCACTAATTTAGTTTATTTAATACTGAGGAGCAGAGAAAAAGATTTTCAAATAATTCATGTATTTTCACTATATAATCAATAGAGCCCTGCCCTAACACCAGAATCCCTGACCCTGGGGCCATAAAATTCACAATTTTGGTAGAGGCACTCTTGCTCATCATATTTATACACTAATTTAGTTTATTTAATACCCAGGAGCAGAGAAGATGATTTTCAAAGAAATAAAGCATTTTCACTATATAATTAACACTAGAACCCCTGACCCTGGGGCCATAAAATTCACAATTTTGGTAGAGGCACTCTTTCTCATCATAACTATGCACTTAGTTAGTTTATTTAATACCCAGAAGCAGAGAAGAAGATTTTCAAAGAAATAATGCATTTTCACTATATACTTATTTAGCCCCGCCCTAGCACTAGAACTCCTGACCCTGGGGCCATGAATTTCACAATTTTGGTAGAGGACTCAAAGCTTATTACAATTGCAAACATGATGTCCAGGAGTAAAGAAGAAGATTTTTAAAGATTGCATTAATTTTAGTGGTTTTGGCCCCACCCCTCAGGGGGGCAGGGATTTTGAAATTCACAATTTTTGTTCCCCTTTACCCATAGATGCTTTGTGCCAAATTTGG